AATAGAGATCTCAATAAAGATAAATACATGGGCAATTATAAAAACTAGAATTACTATAACAATGGTTTGTAACCATACTTTTTGTTTTCTATAACCAAGAAACATACCTTTGAAGAAAAAACTATTAATGTGAAAGCTTGTGTTACTGTAACTTTGGTTTGTAACTCCAAATTGTGTTTTCTACACAGTTTAGGAAATACATTGAGAAGAATTACTAGTTTCTGTTTTGTGGCACATGACGTATAAAGATGTAACCACCAAAAGGGGTGGGACAGAGCTGTAAAGGAGGAGCATTTTTGTTATTGAAGTTAAGCTGCTATAACTTCAAATTAGAATGTTGTAACTTTAGGATGTTAAATGGAATGCTTATGGTAAACACAAGGAAAATGGCTACAGAATATATGGAAGAGGAAGTTAAGAAGGAGTTTAGACAGCTCACTGCCAAAAAACAAAAAGAAAAGGAGACAGGAATGCAAGAAATGAGGAACCAAAAAGCTATAGGGCATACAGAAACATAGGCTGTAAGTCAGAAACGTTTACAAGAGACAAAGAAGGATATTATATATAACAAAAGGCTTCTGTATAATAAAGTACAGCAAGAAGTTATAACAATTATAAACACTTAACATAACTAATGCCCAACCATCAAAATATATGAAACAGAAACTGAGAGAATTGAAGGGAGAAATAGTTCTACAATAATCGTTCTACCCCACTCACAATAATGGATTAAAAAAACAGAAGATAAATAAGGAAGAAATGCTCAGGGGATAGTCCTATAGTCCTTTAAACACCACAATAAACCAACTAGATCTAACAGACATTTACAGAGCACTCCTCACAACAGCAGCAGCATACACAGTCTTCTCAAGTGCACTTGGGACATTTTCCAGGAAGACCATAGGTTAGACCTCAAATTAAATCTCAGTAGATCTTAACATATAAATATCATACAAAGTATCTTCTCTGACCACAAGATGAAGTTCGAAATCAATAACATAAAACTGGAAAAGTTACAAAATTGGGGAAATTAAACAACACTTTTTCTTTTTGAGTATAGTTGATATACAATGTTGTGTCAGTGTCAGGTGTACAGCCCAGTGATTCAATTGTACATGGACATATATGCATTCTTTTTCAGATTTTCTCATATAGGTTATCACAGAATATTAAATAGAGTTCCCTGTGCTATGCAGTAGGTTCTTGTTGGTTACCTATCTTATATACAGTAGTGTGTGTGTGTTCCTCCCAAGCTCCTGATTTATCCCTCCCCTCACGTTTCCCCTTTGGTAACCATAAGTTTGTTTCTGTTTTGTAGATAACGTTCATTTGTGTCATATTTTAGATTCCACATGTAAGTGATATCATATGGTATTTGTCTTTCTCTTTCTGACTTACTTTGCATAGTATGATAATCTCTATGTCCATCCATGTTGCTGCACATGGCATTATTTCATTGTTTTTTATGGCTGAGTAATATTCCATTGTGTATATGTACGACATCTTCTTTATCCATTCCTCTGTCAATGGACATTTAGGTTGTTTCCATGTCCTGGCTATTGTAAATAGTACTGCAATGAACATTGGGGTGCATGTATCTTCAGATTATGGTTTTCTCAGGATATATGCCCAGGAGTGGGATTGAAGGATTATATGGTGATTCCATTTTAGTTTTTTTTTGTTGTTGTTGCGATACGCGGGCCTCTCACTGTTGTGGCCTCTCCTGTTACGGAGCACAGGCTCTGGACGTGCAGGCTCAGTGGCCATGGCTCGCGGGCCCAGCCGCTCCGCGGCATGTGGGATCTTCCCGGACCGGGGCACGAACCCGTGTCCCCTGCCTCGGCAGGTGGACTCTCAACCACTGCGCCACCAGGGAAGCCCTCCATTTTAGTTTTTTAAGGAACCTCCATACTGTTCTCCATAGTGGCTGTACCAATTTACATTCCCACCAGGAGTGTAGGAGGGTTCCCTTTTCTCCACACCCTCTCCAGCATTTATTGTTTGTAGACCTTTTGATGATGGCCGTTCTGACCGGTGTGCTCGTGCCCACTGTAGTTTTGTTTTGCATTTTTCTGATAATTACTGATGTTGAGCATCTTTTCATGTGGTTTTTGGCCATCTGTATATCTTCTTTGGAGAAATGTCTGTTTAGATCTTCTGCCCATTTTTTGATTAGGTTGTTTGTTTTTTTGACATAGAGCTACATAAGCTGTGTGTAGATTTTGGAGATTAATCTCTTGTTGGTCACTTTGTAAACAATACACTTTTTAAAAAATTGATTTTATTTATTTATTATTTTTGGCTGGGTTGGGTCTTCGTTGCTGTGCGCAGGCTCTCTCTAGTTGCGGCGAGCGATGGCTTCTCATTGTGGTGGCTTCTCTTGTTGCGGAGCACGGGCTCTAGGCACGCAGGCTTCAGTAGTTGCAGCACGTGGGCTCAGTTATTGTGGCTTGTGGGCTCTAGAGCGCAGGCTCAGTAGCCGTGGCTCATGGGCTTAGTTGCTCCGTGGTATGTGGGATCTTCCCGGACCAGGGCTCGAACCCATGTCCCCTCTATTGGCAGGCATGTTCTTAACCACTGCAGCACCAGGGAAGTCCAACAACACACTTTTTTTTTTTTTTTCGGTACACGGGCCTCTCACTGTTGTGGCCTCTACCGTTGCGGAGCACAGGCTCCAGACGCACAGGCTCTGTGGCCATGGCTCACGGGCCCAGCTGCTCCGCGGCATGTGGGATCTTCCCGGACCGGGGCACGAACCTGTATCCTCTGCATCGGCAGGCGGACTCTCAACCACTGCGCCACCAGGGAAGCCCCAACAATACACTTTTAAACAACCAATGGATCAAGAAGAAATTACAAGGGAAATTAGAACAAATGAAAATGAAAACACAACAAAATTTATGGGATGCAGTGAAAGCAGTGCTAAGGGGGAAATTTACAGCTACAAATGCTTATATTAAAAAAGAAGAAAGATCTGAGATCAATAACCTAACTTTACAACTTAAGGAACTAGAAAACAACAAACTAAACCCAAAGCTAGCAGAAGGAAGGAAATGATATAGATTAGAATAGATTGGAAAGCTTAGTATTTTTTGTTGAAAAAAACCTCCGGTTTCTTTGCATGTCTAGTAGGCTTTGGTTGACAACTGGACATTTTTGATAATAGAGTGTAGCAACTCTGGACTTTATTTTTCTGAGGTGGTTGTCCTTTGGAAACTTACCTGGACTTAAACGTCAGCATCTCTTCCCCTGCACTCTGCAGCCACTGGTGTGTCTGCTCGTTTTTTTAAGATTATTTTTATTTATTCGTAGGGGTCACCCCTGAGTCTTTCTAATGTGGTAGTCAGCAGTGATTTTGGTTTAACCCAAATACTCTGAGCCTGTAGGCCTCATACCCTCTGCTGATCAATCTGGGTTGGGGAATGCTTTCAAGCGCCCCTTGGCTTTCACTTTTCCCCATGCTCTCCTGGGTCTCTCCCACTCATACATTGCTCCCCAGTTAGCCAGGGATGTGGGGAGAACATAACTCAGCCCTTTTATGGTTTTCTCACTTCCAGGATGTCTGTCACATTTTTGACTGATCTGCTGCTTGCCCTAACTTGGACTGCCTCTTGGGTTGGTAAGGCTGCGTGTTTTGATCATTCATTCACAACTGAATCCACCATTTTTGGCCAGCACAACTGTAGGTTTCTGCAGCCAGTCCCGCATTGGTAAGACAGCTACTTTTTCCAACCAGGGTTGAGGGGTGGGTTTTGAAGGGATGGGAGCCTCAGTCCACAGGGCCACGGACTCCTCCTGCTCCTATCCTAAGCACCGCCAGGTTTTAAAAGCGAACACTTCTCATTTTGTTGTCTGCCTTTGCGGTATTTCCAGTGCCCTGAAGTTGTTGTTCTTGACCATTTCCCCCAGTTTTATGGGGGTTTTTTGGTTTTTGTTCTTTGCTGCACCGCGAGGCTTGTGGGAGTTTAGTTCCCTGACCAGGGATCGAACCCCGGGCCCTCAGCACTGAGAGCTCGGAGTCCTAACCACTGGACTGCCAGGGAAGTCCCAATTTGTTTGTTCTTTGCAAGGAGGAATTGAGCACCTCTTTATACTGCAGTGACAGGAAGTCCTTCTTCTCATTCTTTATTATCATTTCAAATGAAGAAAGTGAGGCTCAAAGAGATGAAGCCACTTGCCTGAGGTCCTGCAGTTAGGAAGCAGGGGAGCCAGAGTTAAACTCAGGAACTCTATTAAAAAAGTTTTATTTAAGCCACGTAATTTGACAAGTTTTACATACGAATATGCCCGTGAAACCATCACTACCACCAAGATAATAAACATATCTATCACACGTCTCTTTCTAATCCCTCCTGCCCTTCCCTCACCTCTAGGCAACCAGAGATCTGCTTTCTGTCACTATAGTTTGCATTTCCTAGAATTTTATATAAATGGAATCATAAGTCTGTACTCTTTTTTTCTGGCTTTTTTCAGTCAGCATAATTGAAATCCGTCCATGTGGTAGTATATATCAATAATTTATTTCTTTTTATTGCTAAATATTCTGTTGCATTAATATGCAAAAGTTTATCTGTTGACGGACATTTATGTTGTTTCTGGATTTGAGTTATTACAAGTAAACCTGCTCTGAACATTTGCGTACAGGTCTTTGTGTGGGATACGCTTTCATTTCTCTTTGGTCATACCTAGGAGTGGGACAGCTGGACCATATGGAAGGTGTGTGTTTAAGATTTTAAATAAACTTTTAATTCAGAATAATTTTAGATTTACCAAAAAGTTTCAAAGATAGCATCTTCCATTATTGTAATTCATTTGCCAAGGTGAAGAAACTGACATTGGTACATTACTATTAAAGTCCAGACTTTATTTAGATTTCACCAGTTTTTTTTTTTTTTTTTTTTTTGCGGTACGCAGGCCTCTCACCACCGTGGCCTCTCCGCTCCGGACGCGCAGGCTCATCGGCCATGGCTCACGAGCCCAGCCGCTCCGTGGCATGTGGGATCGTCCCGGACCGGGGCACGGACCCGCATCCCCTGCATCGGCAGGCGGATTCTTAACCACTGCGCCACCAGGGAAGCCCCTGTGGGTTTTCTTTGGTTGCCCCCTGGGTCCTTTGGGCGTTGGGTGCGCAGGCGCAGTGTGGGCGGGCGCACGTAGGCGGCAGGCGGGTGCGCAGGCGCAGTGGGCAATGGGCGCCGAAAGCGCAGGAGCAAGTGCCCTGGAGCGGAGGGCGCACGTGGACCGTGGACGGCGGGCGCACAGGCGCAGTGGGCGATGGGCGCTGAATGCGCAGGCGCAGGTGGGCGGCAGGCAGGCGCGCAGGCGCAGTGGGCAGCGGGCGCACGTGGTAGGCGGGGCCTCAGACGCCAAAGGCGAGATGGGGCCGTTACGCTGGCAGGTGGTGGCTGCTGTTGTCGGAGGCCTCGCGCTGGCCCTGGAGGCGCTACCCGCTGTGCTGCGCTGGCTGTGGGCCGGGCGGCGGCCGCCGCGGCGCGAGGTGCTGTTCTTCCCGTCGCAGGTGACGTGCACCGAGGCCCTGTTGCGGGTCCCGGGTACCGCGCCCTCGGGCTGCCCTTGCAACCTGCCCCACGGCGAGAGCTCGCTGAGCCGCCTGTTGCGTGCCCTGCTGGCAGCCCGCGCCAGCCTCGAGCTCTGCCTGTTCGCCTTCTCCAGCCCGCAGCTGGGCCGCGCAGTGCAGCTGCTGCACCAGCGCGGGGTGCGCGTTCGCGTGGTCACCGACTGCGACTACATGGCCCTCAGTGGCTCACAGATTGGGCTGCTCCGCAAGGCAGGTAGGCCGGGCGCGGGGCCTGGGAGGCGGGAGGCAGAGCCAGGATGGCGTGGGTGTTTGGGGCGGGGGCCTGAGGACCGGGGAGACCCTCTCGCGTCCCCTGGCGGCCTTGCAAGGTCTGGGGAAACTCCAAGGTCTCCTCAGGAGCTTCTGTGCAGAGCGTCTGAGCCCGCAACCTGGGCGACAGCCCCGGGAGGGGCCGAGGCTGGAAGCAGGTCTGCCAGCAGAAGCTGGTCAGGCCGCAGGTGTGCAGAGAGGCTGCGTCTGCTTAAGGACCAAAGGGAGGAAAAGGCTTTTCCCCTTAAACTCGTTAGTGAATTTCATTTTGGAGCTTCTGAAATGAATTTTTAAAAATTTATTTTATTTTTTGAATGCGTTGGGTCTTCGTTGCTGCGCGTGGGCTTTTCTCTGGTTGCGGCGAGCGGGGACTACTCTTCGTTGTGGTGTGTGGGCTTCTCATTGCGGTGGCTTCTCGTTGCGGAGCACGAGCTCCAGTAGTTGTGGCTCTCAGGCTCTAGAGCGCAGGCTCAGTAGTTGTGGCTCTCGGGCTCTAGAGCGCAGGCTCAGTAGTTGTGGCGCACGGGCTTAGTTGCTCCGCGGCACGTGGGATCTTCCCGGACCAGCTCGAACCCGCGTCCCCTGCATTGGCAGGAGGATTCTTATCCACTGCTCCACCCGGGAAGCCCTGAAATGAATTTTAAAAATACACTACAACGTGGAGCTGAAATGTTTAGTTGGTGACAGTTAATTTGTTTCTCAGGCTACAAAATGTCAGGGAAGTCAGGTCTGTGGCCGGCCTGCCTCTCTCACTGGAGTGGGGACAGATGAACCCGGATGTGTGAATAATTTTGAAGACGTTCTAAATTCACATCCTGCCTTACCTGTGAATTCTGCTTCCTCCTCCTGCCTCAGTGTGACGTTGTGTCTTGTGTGAGGTATTCGGAGTCTGAACCTCGTGCCCATCTCTCGATCACTGAGGCACCCAGGAAGGACATTCCTGCACCAGCATCTGTTTGACCTGTCGATTCTGGTGGCCGCTGTGGCCGAAAGACGCGTGGGGCCTTTAAGAACTGTCCCGGCTGCTCTCAGCCCAGCTTGCACGGGCCTCTTGCCCGCTCTCCTGATGGGAACGCACTAAAGTCTTCTGCTGCTTTTCCGTCTGCTTCCGCGTGGGCGGGGTTGGAAACCTAGTGTGAATGTTGAGGACCCTTGGCTTCCGCTCTTCCTGGTAGCCGTGTGTTGTCCTGATCTGTTGGCTCTTTCGATGGGGAAACTTGGCTATGTTTCGGCATAGCGGTTTTATTTTGTTTAGGTTTTTAGAGAACCGCAGAACCTCGGGTTTGGGAAGAACCTTAAAGGGCCCCGCGACCAGACCCCGTCTAAACCTTGATACCCCTCTGAGGGCGTCCAGGCCGTCGTTTGTCACTCCCTGTTGAACCGGTCTCTCTGTGAGCCTCTATTTGCCTGGACCGGTTCCAGGCTCTGGGGAGACACTGCTGAACGGTGGGAGGCTGACTGCAGCTGGAGTCCTGAGGCGCCAGGAAGGGTCAGGAGATGTCGCAGGACAGCTGCCCGCGACGTGACACGCATGAGGGCCCATGCTGTCGTGTGAGGAGTGGCAGGCGATCCTGTGGTCGAAGGTGGGAGTCACGAGGAGGGGCTGCCGGGTGCACCTTGGGCTCCGTGGCTCCAACAGGCAGAGAGGCTGTGCGAGCGGGGTGGTCACAGGGCCAGAGCCACGGCTTCAGGGCCAGGGCCCGGTGTCTCCTGTGCTGTTCCCTCCCTCCAGGCTTGTCCCCCTTACAAGGTGCTGACTGAAGGGGATCTGCTTCTGGGCCTGAGTGAGACCTTAGGGGCAAGTGAACCCAAGCAGATGGGTTTTGCGCCAGTCACCACTGGATCGTCCTGGAACCAGTAACTGAAGGATGATGCGGGTCGTGTGCCCTGGCGGGGGTGGGGAGCCTGCCCCGGATCAGGGGCTGGGAACAGGGCCTGTTTCCAGAGGAACTGAGTCACGCGTCCCTGCTGCCACCCGGCCCTCGGCTCTGTGGTCCCCCCACCCCGATGCCTCTGTGTCCTCCACGCCTCCTCCTGGGGCTGGTGGGGCGGGTCCCTGCCTGGCTCAGCCGCCGTCACCATCCAGACATGGTGGTGCCCGCGAAACCGGACACGAGCGCGATCAGTCATGTGAACACATCCATGCTGCAGAAGGAGCCTGAACTGTAGCGATGGGTGGTGAGAGGAGGGGCTGGGGGGAGGGAGCGAGGGGCCCCCGCGTGGGGGTGATGAGACGGAGCGCCCAGCCGGCGGCTCAGTCGGGGTGACAGGCAGCAGTGACGTCTCACTTTTTGCAGGGATCCAGGTCCGGCACGACCAGGATCTGGGCTACATGCACCACAAGTTCGCGATCGTGGACAAGAAGGTGCTGATCACTGGCTCGCTGAACTGGACCACTCAGGCCATTCAGAGCAACCGGGAGAACGTGCTCATCATAGAGGACGAGGAGTGCGTGCGGCTCTTTCTGGAGGAGTTTGAGCGCATCTGGGAGGAGTTTAACCCCACCAAGTACACCTTTTTCCCTCACAAAAAGGGAAGTCGCTGAGACGCCTGCACGTGGGGAGGTGGGGCCGGCGTCCCTCGAGCTGGAGCGACCCTTGGGGGCCACGGCCACATTCCTGCTAGGAGCTGCACGCTTCCGGGGCCGGAATCCCACGTGTTGTGCAAGGAAAGCCAGTCCCGTTAAATTCTCCTTTGTTAAATGGTACAGTTCCCTAGAGAGTGTTGGGGTTTACGAGGAAGAGGCCATGCTGTGCAGCGCAAGGGCGGGCTTTTGGACCAGGTGCCGGGTGCCTCCGTCAGGGTTGCGCGTGCAGGGAGGGCCACCACCTCGTCACGGAGGCCGCGCCGAGCCCCTTGCCTGGTTCTGGGGCCTCCCCGGCTTCCCCTGACCCGTCGGTCCAGCCCTCGGGCCCCTCAGTGCTCCCTCAGCCCCCATCCAGCGGGCGGAACCTGGATGGCCAGAGGTGACGGTCCCTCCCTCCCTGCTGCCTCCAGCTCCTGGGGGGAGGGGCGGGGGATGGCACGGCGAGGAGTGGCCGTCATCCTTGGGAATCACTCAGTAGAAGGGATGAGCACTGAGAGCTTGGCGCCTGGCAGCCCCTGGTGTGTGTAAGGTGAAGTGAGCAATCGTAACACGTGGAAACAGGAGTGTCCAGAAGCTGCTCCTGTTTCCACGTGTTAGGATTTTAATTTTTAGCATTCTCACATTCAGAGAAGTTAGGTTGTGTGTGCATTTAGAATTGACCTTCACCGTGACACTCGTGGCTTTGCTCAGTATCACCGAGGCGAGGCGGGTCCCAGGGGTGGCCTCACTGGGCTGTCCTCGTTCCCGGGGCAGGGATGTGACATGTTTGAACTGTCCCGGAGGCAGCTCCGAAGACATCTGGACAGCAGTTGCTCTCTCCTGTCGCTCAGGCCCGGTGGGCACCCCTGGGTCTCCTCCCTCATCTCCCGGCCCCTGGGGACCCCTCCCCCACATGGCGTGTTCCTCTCGATTTAAAGTTACCGCTGACTTAGAGTGTCAGATACGTAAACCCGAAACTTAGCTTTCCTTACTTAACCAAAGCTGTATTCTCAGATTGGAAGTCACAGACATGGCTTCACAGTGACCGTGTTTCTCCCGAGCTGGGCCCGCCACCTCGAATAAACGCGCTCTCCCCTAGTCGACTAGCGTTGTGTGTTTCTGCCTTTTGTTCATTCGAATGGCGGCTACTTATTAAAACTTTTTTTGGTGGTGGTGGTGGGGGAACATCCAGCTATTTAGAAACCGTTGGCCAAGGCAGGAGCCTCTCGAGGAGTGAAGATTTGGGGGTGTTGCTTGGGGGACCCCCAGTGTCTTCCGAGTGTCCGCCCGGCCCGCGTGGGGCCTGCGCCTTCCTTCCGGAAGCCGGCAGTGTCCGGCGTCCCAGCACGGTGCGCAGCGGACCATCCAGCCCCACCATCCAGGTTGATGTTGCAGAAGTTGTGAAATGAGCTCATCTCACGTAGTCTTTTACTTAATGTAATTTTATTTATATTGTTTTAGTTATTGTCATCGTAGCGGTGGGAATTTGAATCGGAGTTAATCAAGTCCCAGATTAACAGCCTTTCTGAAAGGAAAACATTTTCTCTGAGGGCCTGGGTGCTGACGAGGCTGCAGCACTGAGATCAGCCTCCACTTCGGAGGCTGTTCTGTCCCTTGAGGGTGGGTGACCATACGAGGTGACCAGAGCCCCGCTCTGACGGGAGAGGCGTGAGGAGGGGCAGCTGGGCTGGGGGCAGGGCACAGGCCGGCGTGTCTGGTTCTCCAGGAGAGCCAGAGGGGGTCGCGGCCGAGGCTGCGTGGTTCCCAGGTCTCCGGGTTGTGGAAGCAGGTGGGCGGAACCGTCGGTATTTTCGTGATTCAGAAGGTAGTTCAGGCCGAGTCAGTGGCTTGTGCGGAGCAGCAGTTGTCTGGGGGCTCATCCAGTGATGGGCAGGCACACCGACGAGACCCCCAGAGGTGTGGCTGACATCGGCGGGCAGAGAACACCAGGAGTGACCTGAGCACGGAGGGGAAGAGGCCGGGAGGGGACTTGCGTGGCGTGTCGTCCGAAGCTGCACGCTTTGTCCACAAGATTCTGTCACGAACGGAACCATTACAGGAGGGAATCAACCCCCAGGAGGCTTGGCGGTTGCTCCCTAAGAGGCATCGAGGTCAGCTCCCCTCTTACTGCCCCCCGCCCCCGCCCCCGCCCCACAGGCTCCTGGCCAGCCTCGTGATTTTGGTTCAAAGTCGTCATTTTAACTACGGGGCAGTGATGCAGCCTAACAAACCTGACAGGCAAAGTTAATTAAACATTGGCACAGTTAACGTGTAAAATATTTTAAACTCATGCAACCCTTGTGGTAAAAAAAAAAAGTGTCCTGGTAGTAGTTTGTCCCGTAGCTGTCAAATACACGAGAATGTTGGGTTCAAACAGTGCAGTTCCATTGTATTTAAAGCACTGTATTGGTTGCACTGAAGTGTTTTGTTTGTTTGTTTTGCGGTAGGCGGGCCTCGCACTGCCGCGGCTTCCCCTGTTGCGGAGCACAGGCTCCGGACGCGCAGGCTCAGCGGCCATGGCTCACGGGCCCAGCCGCTCCGCGGCACGTGGGATCTTCCCCGACCGGGGCACGAACCCATCGGCAGGCGGACTCTCAACCACTGCGCCACCAGGGAATCCTCTGAATTGGTTTTTAACGCAACTGACTAGTTTAAAAAAACACTTCACTCAGATTCACATACCATAAAACTCATTCTTTTAAAATATGCAGTTCGGTGTATTAACATTCTGTTAAGAGATTATCAGTTATTAGTGTATTAACAGAGTTGTTATTTACTATATTACCAGAGTTGTGCAGCCATCACTACTGTCTGCTTTCAGAGTGTTTTCTTCGCTCCAGAAAGAAACCCTGTTTCTGTGGATTTACCTGGTGTGGATGTCTTACATAAATGGAATCCACAACCTGTGGTCTCTGGTCTCTGCCTCCTTTCCCTGAGTGTAGTGCTGTTGAGGGCTGTCCGTGTTGTAGCAGGTGTCAGCATTTTACTTCTTTTATAGCTGAATAATAACGCATTGTATGGACAGAACACATTTTGTTTCCCTGTTTGTCAACTGATGGACATGGGGGTAGTTTCCACCTTTTGTCTGTGACAAATACGATGCTGTGAACATTCACATACGAGTGTTCGTGTGGGCATGTTTTCGTCTCTCGAGTATATACCTAGGAGTGGAATTGTTGGGTCATATCACTCTGTTTAACCATTTTAGAAACTGCCAGACTGTTTTCCAAAGCGATTGAATCATTTTACGTTCCCACCAACAGTGTATCAGGGTTCCTTTTTCTCCACATCCTCACGAACAGAAAGCTATTATTTGACTTTTTAAAAAATTAGTTTTAAAAATGGAGGTATAATTGAGGTACAATATTCTGTAAGTTTCAGGTGTGCGACAGTGACTCACAGTATTTAAGGGTTATATTCCATTTGCAGTTATAAAATATTGGCTCTATTTCCTGTGTTGTACTAAATATCCTTGTAACTTATTTTGTACATTGAAGTTTGTACCTCTTAATCCCCTACTCTTATCTTGCCCCTCCCCCTCCCATCTTCCCACTGGTAACCACTAGTTCTCTAGATCTGCCTCTTCCTTTTTTGTTATGTTCACTAGTCTATTTGATTTTTTAGATTCCGCATATAAATGATATCATACAGTATTTGTCTTTCTCTGTCTGACTTAGTTCACTGAGCATAATATTCTCCAAGTCCATGCATGTTGTCGCAGATGGCATTATTTCATTCTCTTTTATGGCTGACTAGTCTTCCATTGCATATATGTACCACAGCTTCTTTAGTCATTTACCTATTGATGGACACTTAGGTTGCTTCCATATCTTGGCTGTTTTAGATAGTGCTGCTATGAGCATTGGGGTGCGTGTATCTTTTCCGATTAGTTTGTTCATTTCCTTTGGATATGTACCTAGGAGTGCAACTGCTGGGTCACATGGTGGCTCTGTTTTTACTTTGTTTAGAAACTGCCAGACTGTTTTCCATAGTGGCTGCACCAATTTGCATTCCCACCAACAGTGTGTGAGGGTTCTCTTTATTTCACATCCTCACCAAAGGGTGTTATTTGTGGTCTTTTTGATGATGGCCATTCTGACTGGTGTGAAGTGGTATCTCATTGTGTTTTGTTTTTTTTTAGTTTATGTATTTATTTTGGGCTGCGTTGGGTCTTCGTTGCTGTGCACGGGCTTTCTCTGTGGAGAGTGGGGACTGCTCTTCATTGCGCTGTGAGGGTTTTTCATTTCAGTGGCTTTGCTTGTTGCGGAGTACAGGCTTTATGCATACGGACTTCAGTAGTTGCAGCACCTGGGCTTGACAGGTGTGGCTCAGAGGCTCTAGAGCGCAGGCTCAGTAGTTGTGGCACATGGGCTTAGTTGCTCTGTGGCACGTGGGATCTTCCCAGACTGGGGCTCAAACCCGTGTCCCCTACATTGGCAGGTGGATTCTTAACCACTGACCCACCAGGGAAGTCCCATCTCATTGTGGTTTCAATTTGCATTTCCCTGATGGTGGACGATGTTGAGCATCTGCTTATGTGCCGGTTAACCATCTGTGGTTTTTATTTGTAAAAAAACTTCTGTTCAGGTCTTCTCCCCATTTTTTAATTGGGTTGTTTGCTTTTTTGATGTTGAGCTGTATAAACTGTTTATATTGATTATATTTTGCATATTAACACCTTATCAGTCATATCATTTGCAAATATTTTCTCCCACTCAGTAGCTTGTCTTTATGTTTGTTGACGGTTTCCTTTGCTGTGCAGTTTTTAAGTTTAATTAGGTTTCATTTGTTTATTTATCTGTTTGTTTTCTGGGGCTGCGTTGGGTCTTTGTTGCTGCTGTGGGCTTTCTTTCGTTGTGGCGAGCGGGGGCTGCTCTTCATTGCGGTGCGCGGGCTTCTCACTGCGGTGGCTCCTCTTGTGGCGGAGCATGGGCTCTAGGCGCACGGGCTTAGTTGCCTCGTGGCACGTGGGATCTTCCCAGACCAGGGATTGAACCCGTGTCCCCCTGTGCTGGCAGGAGGATTCTTAACCACTGTGCCACCAGGGAAGTCCCTCATTCTTTTTTATGGCTGAGTAATATTCCATTGTATATATGTACCACATCCTCTTTATCCGTTCATCTGCTGACGGGCATTTAGGATGCTTCCATGTCTTCGCTATTTAAGTAGTGCTGCCACAAACATTGGGGTGCATGTATCTTTTCGAATTAGAGTTTTTGTCTTTCCAGATACATGCCCAGGAGTAGGATCATATGGTAACTATTTTTATTTTTGAGAAACCACCATACTGTTCTTTATAATGGCTGCACCAGTTTACATCCCCACCAACGGTGTAGGAGTGTTCCCTTTTTTTACACATCCTCTCCAATAGGTCTTTAATCCATTTTGAGTTTATTGCTGTATATGGTGTGGGAAAATGTTCTTTCGTTCTTTTACATGCAGCTGTCCAGTTTTCCCAGCACCTATCTGACTTTAATGATAGCCATCCTATTGGGTGTGAGGTGCTGCCTCAAGTGTGGTTTTTTTCTTGTATTTCCTGGATGACTAATGGTGTTGAGCACCACCATGTATTTACTGGTCTTTTATGTATCGTCTTTGGAGAAATGTCTATTCAAATCCTTCACCCATTTTTTAAATTGGGTTGCATTTTTATTGTTGAGTTATAAGAGTGTGTGTATATTCTGGATATAAGTCCCTTATCAGAAGTATGATTTGCAGATATTTTCTCCCATCTTTGGGTAGTCATTTCACTTTCTTGCTGGCATTGTTTGCAGCATATATTATTAATTTTGGTATAGTTCAATTTATCTGTTCTTCACCTGTTTGTGCTTTGGTGTCTTAACTAAGGAACCAATGCCCAACCCATTGGTGACAAAGATTTGCTCTTACTTTTTTTCCTGAAAGTCTTATATTTAGGTCTATGAACCATTTTGAGTTATTTTTTAAAATATATTTTCTTTGAACTTTTTTTTTGAATATTTATTTATTTGGTTGTGCTGGGTCTTAGTTGCAGCAGGCAGGCTCCTTACTTGCGGCCCAGCTGGCTCCCCAGATGCGGCACGCGGGCTCCTTAGTTTTGGCATGTGAACTCCCAGTTGAGGCATGCATGTGGGATCTAGTTCCCTGACCAGGGATCAAACCCGGGCCCCCTGCATTGGGAGCATGGAGTCCTATCCACCACGCCACCAGGGAAGTCCCATTTTGAGTTAATTTTTGTATGTGGTGTGATGTAAGGGATCCGACTTCATTCTTTTGCATGTAGGTAGCTAGTTGTCCCAGCACCACTTGTTGAAGAGAATATTTTTTTCCCTACTGAATGGCTTTGACACCCTTGTCAGAATCAGCTGACTGTAAATGTAAGGGCTTACTTCTGGGTCTCCGTTATCTTCCATTGATCTGACCTGTATGCCAATACCACACTGTGTTGATTACTGAAGCCTTGCAGTGTGTTTTGAAACCCAGCAGAATGAGTCCTCCACCTTTGTTCGTCTTTTCCAACGTGCTTTGGCTGCTCCAGGTACCCCATACATTTCCCTGTGAACCTTAGGATCAACTGATCAACTTCTGCAGTAGCAGCTGGGATTTTGATAGGGATTGCCATGAATCTGTAGATCAAATTGGAGAATATTGCTATTTTAACAGTATTACATCTTCCAGTGCATGAACATGGGATACTTTTCAATTTATTTAAATCTTCTTTAATTTCTTTAAATAATGTTTCATTGTTTTCAGTGTGCAAGTCTTACACTTCTAAAATGTATTTGTTTCAGATTATTTACTAGTGTAGAGAAATGCAGTTGGTTTTTGTGTGAGTCTTGTATCCTGCACACGTGCTGAGCTCATTTATAGTTTTAATAGTTTTTTTTGGTGGATTCCTTAGAACTTCTTCTATGCAAGATCCTGTCATCTGCAGGTGGAGGTCGTTTTACTTCTTCTTCCACATGGATGCCTTTCCTTTCTCTTCCTAATTGCTCTGGCTAGTCTCTCAAGCAGTGTTGGACAGATAAGGCGTGAACAGACATCCCTGTCTTGCTCCTGATCTTAGGGGGAAGCTTTCAGTGTTACCATTGAGTGTGATGTTAACTGGGTTTTTCATAGTTATCCTTTATTTATTTATTTATTTATTTATTGGCTGTGTTGGGTCTTCATTGCTGCGCATGGGCTTTTCCTCTCCACTTGTGGCTAGCAAGAGGGGGCTACTCTTCGTTGCAGTGTGCAGGCTTCTCATTGTGGTGGCTTCTCTCGTTGTGGAGCACAGGCTCTAGGCACATGGGCTTCAGTAGTTGCAGCGCGTGGGCTCAGTAGTTGTGGTTCACGGGCTTAGGTGCTCTGCAGCATGTGGGATCCTCCCAGACCAGGGATCGAACCCCTGTCCCCTGCATTGGCAGGCGGATTCTTAACCGCTGCGCCACCAGGTAAGTCCCTGTCCTTTAATATTGAGGAAGCTCACTTCTGTGCCTAGCTTGTTGAGTGTCTTTACCACTTTTCCAAATGCCTACTGGCTTTTAAAACTGCATGTACATAGCTTTAAAAAAATAGTGTTAAAGCTGTTAAAACACCATTATATTAGACCAGTGTCCTGAAACTATGCTTTGATAAGAATAATTTTTTTAAATGGGTGAAAAACAACTGAAACATCTTTGAACAATTGGAATAGTACTGAAAATGTTCACGTGTCTGTACTCAAGTTTATTTTTGTCAAGTTTTACAGATTCCACAAGTTGATTTCTAATAGGTAGAGTCAGACTTGAATTTGTTTGTGTTTATCTGAGTAAAAGTTTGGATTCTGCAGTCATTTTCACATGTTTTACTCCAAAGGTTGTGACAATATTGGGGGGAAAAAATGTTTCTTATTTTAAATTTACTTAGTGGGTCACAATCAGAATTTTACAAAATGAAATGGGATAGAGACGTCAGTGTGTGTCCTAGGAAGGGTGCATTATTTTGTGAAATGTTGGATTGTGGCTGGGGTGTATGTTTGTGCGTACTGGGTCATGATGAAAAATGCATTTTCTTTTTTTCTTTTTATTTATTTATTTTTTAAATTTTAATTAATTAATTATTTTTGACTGTGTTGGGTCTTCGTTTCTGTGTGAGGGCTTTCTCCAGTTGCGGCGAGCAGGGGCCACTCTTCATCGCGGTGCGCGTGCCTCTCACTGTCGTGGCCTCTCCCGTTGCGGAGCACAGGCTCCAGACGCGCAAGCTCAGTAGTTGTGGCTCACGGGGCTAGTTGCTCCGCGGCATGTGGGCTCTTCCCAGACCAGGGCTCGAACCCGTGTCCCCTGCACTGGCAGGCAGATTCCCAACCACTGCGCTACCAGGGAAGCCCGCATTTTATTTTTTAAATAAAAAGTAAAAATATTGTAAGTAAATCTACGAATGAAGGGGTAGGTATGGGGGAGTTATAGTTCTTTTTCTTGTATTTCTTATTGTCTTTTTGGCCCCCTGAAAGTTTCTGTAACAGAGCCAATGTACCTTAATTAGATTACGGATGTAAAATATTTCTAACTCTTCGTTGTGTGTGAACATGTGAAATCTCCTGATTTTAAAGTGTTGACAACTAATCCAGACACTTAAAAAGCAGGTTTTGTACAAGTAGAACCAAAGCTCCATCATAAATCTCTGGGCTCCTGACCAAGCCCTCTGACTTGTGACCTAAACGCCTGTTTTGCGTCATGTCCTTCCGTTAAACAAAACCTCGTTTACAGCATGCCAAGGGTGATGCAAAAATAGTTTATTATGATATTGTTTATGTAAAGTTAGGTAATATTTACAGTAGAAATGATCAGCTACATCCATGGGAATCTAGCATGTCACACAAAGGAATAAATATTTTGACAAGTAACACTTCAGTTGTAGTGAGCAGTTGATCAGAAATTTTGTATTTAAAAAGGAGCCTCAAACTAAACCGTGGAAGTCTTGAATTGTCAGAGAGCAGCGAGCTGACCAGGCCCTTCTCTTCAAGAGGCCCCTGCAGTCCCACGGGAGATGGGCCCCCTCCTGGGGGCCGCCGGGGGGGGGCACGCGGTGGGTCTCCACGCCACTTCAGCCTGGCGAACATTATGTTAGTACAGAAATTAAACGCCAGTTAAAATCATACAAGCTTATTCTTTGAACATGTACCACCTGTGAAAAATTAGCTGTGGCAGAAGTGATTGTTGCTGTGAATTATTCCCGCACTTGCCCCAGCAGAAGCAGCTACCTACGCTTTTCCACCTTGTTCGTATGCGGCCCCGCCCCGCCAGCAGCTAGGCGTAGTACGCTTTTGTCTCAAGTAGCTGGATTGAGACATTCACCCTGATAGAAGAGCATATCTGTGAGAAAGATCACTGAGGATTCTAATTGTTGAGGAGCCACTTAGAAACTTTACGTTTTATAAATATTACTTAGGAAAAGTCTTAATCGCTTAACTGGTTTTGAATCCTAACAGTAAGCCAGTAGATATGTTGTTAATACTAAAGGTAAATCCTAAAATCCATTTTAATTGGTTTTGTGATACAAGCATAACACAAGAATGAATTTAGTGTTCTTTGTAATCTATTTCTAGCTTTCTATAAAATAAAACTGAAACGCGCGACGTAGCTAGCTGTAAAGGGGAGAGGGCGGATGGCTGGAAACGTGATGGGCAGCACGCGCCCGTGCGTCTGAAGGCTGCTCTGCGTGAGCTCAGACTGCCCTCCCGGCTCATCCCACAGGCCTGGACGGTCCAGTTCTCAAGTACGCTTGCCAGCCTGACGGGCGCACATCATAGAATAACAGCCTTACGAGTTCTGCAACGTCCAAGCCGTCACACAACAACCCGGCGCTTGGCTGGACTCCCACGCAGCCCCCAGCAGGTGGCCACAGGTCACTGACTTAGACGCCAAGGTGCTGGGTCTCCTGCAGGTCCCCAGTCACTGTGTGCAGGGTCCGGGCAGGAGCCCCTCCTGTGTTCCTCCTCCTCCTGATTTTCCTCAGCACTTTGAACGGCTCTGCCAAGAATGAGGAACAAGTACAACCGAGATCTTTCAGGGAAAAACAAAACCACCTGTTAAACGGCCAGAGCTTTATGAAAGGTAACACGAGTCATTAAAAACACTTCCTTGTAATGTTGAGTGGGGTTCAGTGTTGTACCCAAAGCTGTTCATCCTATCTTAGAAAGCAGTGCTTGTATGAGGAAAAAAGAAAAAAACCCACAGACTCTGTCACAGAAATCCATGCAGTAACTTCTGAGTAATATTTACACTGCTTGCTCTGAATAATATCCCGGTTTTTCTAAATACAGAGGACCTGGGAGCTGCACGGGGTGTGCGGGGTCCCGTGGGCCCTGGAAGGAATGGACACAGTGTGTCTGAGCTGCTCTCGGGGACACAGGTTTAGGCCTGCTCTTCTGAGGGTCTTCTGTTGACAGACCTCAGGGAGGGGAGACTGCTTCCCTTTACAGAGAAACAGGAAGGAACTCACCGTTCTCAAAAGGGCAGAAGAACGAGACCGGTCTTCTCCAGTCAGACAAAACTTGAGAGACTGACAGTTCATCTCCATACTGGGTTTCTGTCCTGTCTTCCTATCAAAGAACCCAAAACACGTGGTTTCTGAGATCTCACTTAAGGCTGCTGCTTATTTAAGTTTTCAGCTGTGGAAAGTACGGCCTTGCGAAAGTGTACACACGTGAAAATACACAAAACTAAAGTGCAGCCCCGCCTCCTGAGAGCAGGCTAAGGAGGGCCGGGCTGGGCCTGCTGCGGCGGGAGTGTCCCTAGCGTCGTGCGCTCAGTGCCGAGAGCAGGGGCGGGCGCTACGTCTCACCTGACCTATGGTGAGGAAGACCTTTCCCAGGCTCGGGAGTCCGACACCTGCGCTCAGGCCTCTCGGCGCCGTCCAGGATCCCCTCTCAGAATGGCGGGATGAAGGAGCGCCCACGATCACAGGTGGACAAGATGGGTGTGCAGATGCCTGCAGTGAAAACCTCTGGAAGAAGTCGGTTCTCAGCAGCACCTCCCAAGTCTTCTAAGGGTGGGGCTGCACACCAGGGCGCCGGGACCCTCGTTAGTTTCGGCTGAGTGGAGGAAATGCTAGGGCAACAGGTAAAAGCTGTTCATAAGGCAAATTCCTATTCAACATGAAACACCAAGAGCTCACTGTCCAGGGCTGTGGGGGGCGAGACATTCCGGAATACTGCAGTTTCCAGAGGAGAGAAGCTTCCAGTTAAGGTGCCAGATCTTTTTTCCTTCTAGTATTTCATTCTTTTTAAGTATCATACTACACACTTTCCAGTCCTTTGTAAAACTCTGGCAACAGTTAAGTTTCCTCCCCTTTCTAGGTGATAAAGGTGTCTAGTATTTTTGTTTTATGAAATTGCGTCTTGAAAGTAAGCTTCTTGAGAACGATGATGAGCAAACTTCCTTTCAGGAAAGAGAACTGCTGGCGGGCTGTGTTCATTTTACTCTCTAATGGAAAACAGCTTTGAGTCCCTGGAGAAGACCACGTCAGGAGCGAGCGGCGGCGGGAAGCCTGGCTCGTGGTGCTCCGGCGGGACGCCGCGTCCTCAGGGAGGAGCGGGCGTGAGTTCCTTCGCGAGGAGAATGCGCACGCCTGTCTACCTGCTCCTCCCAGCGGGGGACACCCCGGGGCGCCCGCGAGGTCTCACCGGCTAGAGCTGGGGGACCCGGGCACCTGGCTGGAGAGGAGGTTCCAGGGTGAGCGCTCACCATACAGGCCCCTCGGAGGGGGCAGGCACTGTGCCGCCTCACCCAGAGGATGTGGAGGGGGCTGCCAGGCGCAGCGATGGAAAGATGGTGTTTCCCTCGCAGAGAAACGGCATTAAATAGACGTCTCTGAGAGTGCTGACGCCGTAGGTCTTGTCTCGTGGCCTCATCTGTCAGAACTGCTCTCAGGCAGCTCCCTCTCTTCCTGAGCCTGGCCTGAGCATGAGGCGTCGGTGCCCAGCTGTCGGGTCGGTGAGCTGCTGCCTGCGTCTGGACACCGTGAACGACAGGCTGCCCGTGACTGGCCAGAGGCTGGGCCTTCCGTCGTCCTCGGTCTCCGCCGGTCACCCCAGCACAGCCATCGCTTCGTCCCAGAAAGCCACGCTGGCTCTCGCGCCATGGCACAAGCCCGCGAGGCACGCTGCGGCCAGCACGGTCACCGGAACACTGGCCTTCAGACCTGCTTAGGCCCCGGCAGCACGTCGGAGCAGAGGCGGCCGCGAGCCCGGCGCACGTACCCTGCAGTGATGCAGGTGTTCACAGAGCCGTCAGGTGGTGTGAGCCTGTCCAGCCTCCCGCTGGCCTGTCGGGCTCGGCTTAGCTGCAGGTGCTCGCAGGTCCCAGATGAAGGAGAAACGTTTACAGGAAAATATCACTGCTGTGAAGAGACGACCCAGGGAACCTTTTCCTCCTTGGGGACGTGGGGACGCTCCCCCTGCTGGGGGAGCGCCGGGAGCACCCTGGGCTTGCGGTCACCTGCGCCTCCCTGTCCACAGCCCCCCGAGGGCCTGTTCTCTGCCAACGCAGACACCGGCTCAACCTCCGCATACGTGTTCTTCCTCCCTTCTGGAGTGCGGCAGCTGAATTGCTGCCTGGGAGCTTGGGTGCTCGCAGGGAGAGTCCGGAGGACGCTGCGTGCCGGGGGCTGAGGTGGGACGGTGAGATGCAGAGCAGAGACCCTCGCCGTCCTGTCCTGCCTGCTCACGCCAGCCCGAAGCTCAGACCTGGTTCCGAACCAGGCGGCGGCCGTCACCACGTGCTGCTGCCCAGCACTGCCGGGGTCGCTGCTCGGCTGGTTGAGCCCTCGCGGTGCATTTCCTGGCCGCCTCTGCCTGCAAGCCCCGGATGCTGCTGCCGCCACCTGTTCCCCAAGATTCCTGAGGGCCGACCTCAAAGGACAACTGATGAAGACACACGAATAAAATGCTCTTTTGACCTAATCAGGAGCACTGCACAATCCAAACGCTCACGTCTACGGGCAGACGAAACCCAACTCTGTGCGCGGACCCTGCCCTTCTGGGAGGGCCGGAGATCCCCCCAGGGGCAGCAGGGGCAGCACAGGGCCAACCCGGCCTGACGAGGTGCCTGCTCGGAGGAGGAACACGAAGCCACAGTCATGACACCCGAAGAGCCGCCCGAGCCTGGCAGAGGCCCGCCCAGCAGATCCCCAGGGCACCTGTCACGCTGCCCTCGACGACACGCTCACAGACCATTCTGGAGACAGCGCCAGTCTACATGGCGGGGGTGTCTGATGCCAGAATTAAAGGAGCTAATGTTCTCTGCTTTTAAAAACGTGGGAGGATAGCGGCGAAGGAGTGACTGGCGTGGTGGGAGGCTCTGAACAGCTTGTGAGCAGGGAGGGCCCACTGCAGCCAGGAGCCCTGAGACCATCCAGTGAGAAGACAGCACGGGAGCTGCACTCTTACACACCCCAGGGCCTCTGTCCTGCCCTTCCAGGACTTTCTCCAAATGACCTCGTGCGTTCACTTAATCTAAAAACTGAGCAAGATGATTTCTACGTTTCCACGCCCGAAGCACCCACGTACCCGAGACAGTGGTGCTCACCCAAGCAGCGAGGCCAGGAGGCCTTCCCCCCCGCGCCCGGGCCGGCTCCCGCCTGGTGGGCTTTGTTCACACTCCCCACCCTAACGGGATGAGTTGTTTTCATGGGGCCGTCATAGAACCCCGATTTCAGAGGTTTTCAAGAAGTGCTGTAGAGTGTCTGGTGGCGGTTAAAGAGTTGTTACTCAGACCACTAAGGAAGCAGAGCCGTCGGTCCAGGCCCGGCGCTGGCGCCCCCAGTGCCGCACGGCCTGAGACCTCAGGTGAACTGAAGGAGGCTTAGGAGCACGTCACGAACGGCCAGTTCTTATCTGGTTCCAACATCTGCTCTAACCTCGGCTTAACACAGGGTCTCCTGTCAACCGTATTCTGAGGGAAAACTCTCTTCATTCTTTGTGATCACAGGTCAGCATCTACCGAGTATGAAAGGACCAGGGTTCCTGGTGACCAAGAAAGAAGCGAGCGTAGGAAGGAATGAGAGGGGCCTGGTTTTGTGCAAGATTTAATAAAAAACAAACAAAAATAGGAATGGCTGCTTTCAACATTTTCCAGGTTGTGAAAGGTTTACCACGAGTATCTGGGGTGTGGTTCTAAGCGGCATTAGTGGAACAAATACAAAATGCTGTCCTCCTCTGAAGCCCAAAGGTGGTACATCCAAGGTTCTAGGCCACGCTCCCCCTCCCCCGCAGGCTACCAGCTATCCGCGCTGGGACCGCAGCACACGCCTCCACGCCTCGTGGCCGGTTCTCTCCCAGGGACCCGCCCGGGCCCTGACCCCACCGCGCACTGGGCGAGACAGAGCTAGCTTATCGCAGGCTGCTGGGCCTTAATACTGACATGAGCGCGGGGGCGACGGGGGAGAGCCACATGCGCTCGGCCCCTCGGCTGGGCTGGTCGTAGAAAACCATGGGGAAAAGCTTCGGTAAACACAACAGGGGTGATGTGAGCAACCCACAGACCAGTCTCTCATGCATCCATACCACAGTTACTGAGGGCGATAACGACGATAACGATAACAGAAATCGAAGGTACAGACGAGGGTGGTGGCCGCGGGCCAGGGAGGGTGCGTCTGAGCTGCGTGGGAGCAGCTAGTCGCGCTCCAGGTCCCTGGACTCAAAGAGCTTCAGGCGATCTTGCACCGTCAGGCCTTCCTTCAGACTCTGGTGGAGAAACAGACAGGCCGTTAGCCAGCGGCCCCGCTTGGCCCGGGCTGCAGTCCGGCGAGAGGCGCGGCTCGGGGCTCCCGGAGGGTTAGTGGGCGTGCTAGAAGGGCCACGACCCCCGAGGTGGTGGTGTTACTAAATGAGAAGGAAAAAGAAACAAGACCGATGCTGAGCTTAGCGCTCTCCCGACAAGCAGGGAGCAGACCAGTGGAGCCGGGAGAGGAGCCCTGCTAAGAAGACGAAGATGCCCGCTACGTCCGCATCCACGTCCGGTCTCTCGCGACCGCAGGCTGGCGGCACCTGCTGCACCGATCACAAACCCTGTTGGACTCTCACTGCCCCGGGGATTTGGGAACGTGGCGGTGGGAACATGTCGGTTTGTTTTACTGAGTCTCTGAGAACGGAAGCCCATCCTTGTTCATGTGGGACCTCGGCGAAGGTGGGGGACAGAGGATTTCCTGCTTTACTCTGGGAGGCTCTTCACAGAGACTTAATTTCTGGACGAGAAAAGGAGCATCACCTCAGAGCACGACTGGGAACGAAGGTGCCTCGCTGCCATCGGATCTGCGTGGCAAGTCCAGGCTTCACTGAGGCTGCGGAACCGGGGCCAGCCCACAATCAGCAGGTGAGACCGAGCCGAGCCTCCCCCTCAGAGCTGACCCGCGTCCCCTGGGGCCCCAGCTTCACCCAGGACAGCTCTGCTTGCCTGTATTTTTAATTTGGATGCCACTGGTCAGAGGAAGAGGACCAATCCACGTCCCATGCTGACATCCATTAACGCACACGACTGCCTCACGTGCTCTCGGGACTCTTCCCAAGTGCGCCTGCTTCAGGTCAGGGCTGCCACCTACACGGCTGCTGTCTACACGGCAGCCAGTCTCATCCAGGGGCTGGGCCCCGTCACCTGCCACGCTGCACCGCTCTAGTCGGGGACTTTCCCTTGGGTGGCAGCAAACCGCCACTGCTGAGTCCTGAGGGACAGAGATTTTCCCTCCACGCACTGTCACACACGCTTGGTGATCATCCCTGCTGTGCAGCCGCTCACCACAGCTGTGGGGGCGGAGCCCGAGAAGACCCCGTGCTGCCCCACACACCCAGCATCTCCGTGACCCCACGCTCAGGCCGACCAGGCGGGGGTCTCCGTGAGGAGCCTGGGAAACGTCCTCTCTGGTCTCCATCCCAGAAGAGCCCAGCTGCTCTTAGGCAACGAGCTTTCTGACGTGATGGGGGCTGAGCCTTTCTGTCCTGCTGAGGGAGGCAGGTACAGAGACAACACACGTGAAAAGGTAGACATCTGTATACATCAGACCCTGTATCAGAAAGCACCAGTGACAGGTTGTTTTTGGGCAACTTAGTTCCCGTCTTCCTGTGGGAGGTTCCACGGTTTCCAAATACAATCAGGAAAAAGGGCAGCACAGAGCTGTGCAAGTGTCCGTTGAGAGCACGTTACAGGCACCGCATCACGGCTGGTGTCCCTGAGGGTGGACCATAAGGGCCACAGCTTCCTCCTTGGGCCAGCAGGGCTGTCCCCACACACCGAGAGCATTGCTTTTACGTTGCAAACTTGGCAAGCCAAACTCGGACTCAAAACGAACACGACTCTGGGAAACCCTGCTCCTGGGCTTCCTCCTCACACTCATCTGGGTCCCGGCCTTGCAGAGAGCCGCAGGCAGACCCTCGTGGGTGTGCCTGACAGTTTCCTCTCTCATTCCCGGCCTCTGCTTTAGCAAGCTGCTGGCCAGCGTAGAAGCCGCCGTCTACACGGCCGCACATGTGTGCCAGCACATCTCATGGCCAAAGGCCCTTATTGACAGAGATGTTTCCACTGATCTTCTGGCCCTTTGCCAGAGCCCAAAGTACTGTGCAGCTTGTGGGATCTTAGTCCCCCGACCAAGGATCGAACCCAGGCCCCAGCAGTGAGAGCGCCAAGTCCTAACCACTGGACCACCAGCAGATTCCTGCAAAGCACTTTCTCTCCCCCGACACACGGTCCGCCTGATGGGGCGGGCTTGCTGGAGCAAGGCTTCCCTGGAAGGGCCCTAGCAGAAGTGTTTGTCATTTTACAGGCAAAAGGCCCAAAGCACTCACGGTGAACTTGCAGCAGCTACAGTTCAGCCTCAGATAGAAGTAAAAATCATCAACAAGAAAACTATAAACCAAGAACACGTTTCCCTTTTGCTAAACAGAATGTTTTCCACGTTTAAAGAAAAAAGCCCGAACTAAGTTTTGAACAGGCTTAAACGTTTCTGGTGATACGTGAGCCAGGACTGTAGGGAAATAAACATATCAAGTACAGAACTACTTGGATTTCCTTCCGTAAACTCTCCCTAAACCAAACCCCTCAGCCCGCCAAGTGAGCCGGGCGCACCTGCCAGCATCCCGTTCTGAGCCCTTCCTGCTGTCCTCAACTTCCTTCTCAGAGGATCAACGAGATCAGGTCAGCCGAGCTGATAAACCCACTAGGGAATGAGTGACTCTGTGCCCCGGATGCCTGGGCCTCGTGGGAGTCGGGAGCGTCCAGGCAGGGTCGGGGTCAGACAGCCTGATGTTTCTGAGCCAGCGCTCATTCAGCCCCTGCTTCCTGTCTTTGGAGGCGCCCGGGGTCCTCAGGGCTGGCAAACGCTCAGCCCCAAGCGCTCGCTGTACTGAGTGGTTTCCGGAGCTGCGTGCGCGAGGTATCAGCTCCCTGGCTTGCTGGGCTCGGGCCTCCTGAGCCTGTTAACAGGGCGGGGGGCGCGGGGCGGGGGCACTTAAGCAGTGGGTGGCTCTGTCAAGTCTGCTTCCCGACTTGGGGGCAGCGGTGCCCCCAGAGAACGTGAGCGCACAAACCATTCGACATGCATGTGACGGGGCCGAGATGCTGGCCCCACGGGCAGCCCACCAAGCTGGGGGGAACTCCCCTCTGTTAAGAGGTTACAGTGCAGTTAACTCCCCAGAACAGGTTAAGAAACTTCACATGGATCGTGTATGTGCCGGCTGGAGCAGGAGGAATGAAAGTGACCGGAAAACAAGGAGCTCGCTATGGAGGTGTGAGCAGTGTGCATGCAGGTAGCACCCCCTCGAGGGCGGCGGGCGGGTGGGTGGTGGTGAGAGTGGTTTACCTACACGACAAGGGACCGGGAAGCGGGTCGTTTCAGTTATCCCATGAGACCTGCTCAATTACGGACTGTCGGGGGAAAGAGCACAAAACAAAAGACACACACACAATAAATCCTAAATGCAACGTGCTGGTCACCCCCACCCTCCAACCCACCTTCCCACAGAGGGGCACGTGGGGGCGGAGGGCACACGCTGTGGGGGGAAGGGGCGCAGGCAGCTTTGTCTCTTGAAGGCAGCTGGCGTCAGCATGAACTAGGGACATGCAAGGAGCAGTCCAGATGGGGCAGGACCGACCCAGCAGGGCGCCCGTCTGAGGGGATTCACCCGAGCCCTGCTTGCTGTGGGCCTGGCCCTCCGCTGTCGCTGGCAGGAGATGGTCCCCCTGCTGGGCGAGGGACACACTCAGTGCGAAGCCCCCGGAACTGGCCCAGCAGGCTAAGCGTGTGGGGCCAGTGAGTTCTGGGACCCTGGGGACCCTCTGCTGTGGCCCTAGGTGGGCTCTACGTACACAGGGGCTGGACCCCAGACTCACCTTGGACCTGATGCTTCTGAGCTGTCGGCTGACGCAGGATCTGTCTTTCTTCAAGAAGTCAGGGTTGCTTTTAGACTTCATTATATCTGAGAAGACAAGCAGACCCAGTGCCTGTTTTGTAAACCCCCTGGGAACAGACTTGGGCTTGAAGGCTTCCAAGGCTTATCATCCTCACCCACACGTGAGACGTTTCCTTCAACGACCCACGAGAACCCCAAACAAAGAGCTGTAAAGCACGAGATCCTTGGAACAGTTGTGGGCGCTGGGAGACCTGGAGGAGGCACGCGAGGCCCCGGGCCAGGCTCCTCCCCGTTGGCCGGCCGCAGCACCCGTTGCCCCTGGGCTGCTGGGCACACCTGCCGCCCTCCTCCTCCTGAGAGCCCCGGGCTGCTCAGGGTTTTTAACTTCCCATACTTAACGGCGCTCTCCCTCACTTGCTGAGAGCTGTGCAGTGACCTCACGGTTCAGCCCCCCACCGTGGAGGCAGAGCCAGCTCTGTGCTCTTGTGCGTTCAGAAGGGTCACAGGCTGCACGTGCTCACTCCTAACCCTAAATCTCCCGGCCCCCAGATGACTCCTCGGAAGCAGCCAGTGTCACCATCCCGTCCCGGGTCTGATTTGAGCTTCGCTGCACATGGCCTGCCTGCCTTCGGGAAGACCTGTAACGTGCCCGCCCAGCAGCGATGCAAACTGGCGAGGAGGGATCCTTGCCGGCCGAGAGGAAGCGGGTAGTGAGCTAGGGCATCTCTTCAGTAGGCGGCATCCCCCCATCCCCTCCCCCCATGGCCTTCTGCAGATTTTATGGTAAACCCCCAGGATCAATAACCAGCGAGAGCTGCTTACGGAATGAGTGAATTGTTCAGGAAAATGGGGAACACAGCCGGCTGTCACTGTAAACACACACCCCGAGGTATGACTGTCCCTCAGGGCAACCAGTGCAGCGTCGGAGGAGAAGGGCTTCCCAACCAGGAGGGCCCGAGAGCCGGGCGCCTACCACCCCTGCAGCTGTTCCCTACCAGGAAGTTAGTCTGACACAGAAAAGGACCCCTCTGCTTGAATCAAGCGCCAGCAGCTCCAGGACTAAATCGGCGCGAGTTACTGAGTCAGAATCCAGAGCTGGAGGACTCACCGTAGCCGGACACGGGGGTGTGTTCCGGTGACCTTTCACCCAGTGCGTCGGTCGCGGCTTTCAGCTGCTCCTGCAGCCTGCTGACGTCACAGTCGGCCTTCGCCCTCACGATGCTGAGCTCTGTGTAGATGTCCTTGTACTTGTCACTAGCGTACTTCTTGTCCTTGGGGATAGAAGGGCAAAGAGCAGTTACAGCCAGGCTGGGTGGCCCATGCTCCTGGGGCCAGAGCGCTTCGGGGGTGACTGGGGATGGGCCCGGCAGCAGGGAAGGCAGGCCAGCCCCCGCCTTCCAGAGGCAGAAACTGGACACAGAGTGGAACAGGCACAGCAGGGCCCCGGGCTATAGCCAGGCTGGCGCCGCCTTGAGCCCCAAGGACCTCTGTGTGGCTTCAGGCTGGAAAACCCCTGTGCCTTGGATCTCCTAAGTGACTTGGCCTCCAGGAGCGCCCTCAGGAGGCAACAGTGTGCCTGGGTCTCGGGTCCCTGCCCCAGCACGTGGCGGGCACGGGGACAGCCCCTTGTTCCTGCCGCGCCCGCCTGCAGGCTGCCATTCTTCTCGTGGAAGCGAAATCTACTTCAGAGCTGCTACATGTGACTCTGGACACGCGTGGCCCCGCCCCATCCGGAGCCCATCCCCCAGGTCCACGGGTCCCGGGGACGTGCGTTACCCGCAGCGCCGTCTGTAGCTCATCCTTGAGGGAGCTGATCTCCTGTTTCAGGTACTGAATTTCTGACTCCTTGACCCGCAATAAGACCTAGAAAGAGAGAGAAATTAAGAGACTCACGTTCGGGAGCAGAGGGACTGCCAGGGCCTCGGAAGCAAAGACTGAGCCACACGGAGGACTCGCCTCCACACGCCGGTGGGCAGGCAGCTCTCTCCCGGTCCTTGTCAGGAAGAAACGGCCGTGACCCCTCCTGACCCGAAAGCCTCATCCTCAGCCCGGGAGCTCCTGGCACAGAGCCCAGGAAGGGGTCCTGCAGAGACCTCAGGTCAGCCTCTCCCATCATTTAGGAAGAGATGGTTTCATGAAATTTTAATTGAATGGGGAAAAATCTAAGTGCTTTCCTAAAAGAACACCTTATACATAAGAAGCAATCATTCTGACTTAAAATGAACTTTCCTGATCTTGAGTAATACAGCCTTAAGAATCTCAAGCAGCTGCAGTGTTCACAGTTATTCAGTTTCATTTTAGTTGGTCAGTGTTTGTGACGTGGTGGAACAGAGGGGCGGAGGGCAGGTGAGTGAGGATGGGTTAAAGGTCCCTGTGGCCTCGTGAGGGGGTCCCACGCTGCCTGGCAGCTAACTCTTCTCTTTTGCGTCCTGGCATGACTCAGGTCTTTCCAGGTTCTCCCCCTCTTGCTGCCCATAAGCTAGGGGCTTGTATGGTGTGAGCTGGTAAAGAGGGACCTGGCTCTGCGCCGTACCTCTAACTCATAGGCGTCCTTGCCCTGCGTGAGAGGTGAACCAGCAGCCTCGCCACCGGCGTCCCCGGTCAGCAGCGTCCGTAGCCGTGAGATTTCAGCAGCCAGGCGGTTGTTCAGCTCCTGGGGGACAGCAACACAACCAAACAGGGTGCTCTACAGAGCTGTTTGACCACGAACAGAGGGCGCGGCCAGGGTAGCATGCAGCACGGGAGGCCTGCAGCGGTGCCTGTGCACGGTGGCATCTCAGAGTCAGTGTGGACACCCTTGCCAAAGCCATTTACACGGCCCAATACTTTTGTGGAACTGCAGCTGCAGGATCCATGCTCCTCAGCCCCTTTCTGTCACCGTGACTAGTGTTAATCAGTTCCAGGATTTGTGCTCCTGAGTTTCTGCAGGATCAGGACCTCCTGCCACCCTCACCACTCGCTTTCTGTACCTTCTTTCCAGCCAGCAGGTGGTCGTCTTAGGCCACCGCAGTGACCAAGCAGAACCAGTCCTGCTGGAGTGTCCCCCACATATGGGCAGCTGTGGGCCCACAGAGGCCTCGAGCCTGGGCCAGGCCGACGTGGCTGTCTCCTCAGTGCGGGGGGAGGACGAGGGGTCTTGTACCCACAGAGAAGCTTTTTTGAAACTAGACCTACCTTGAGCTGTTCCATTAGCCAGGATTTTATATGTACCCCAGTTTTCTAAGGAGCAGGCACATTTTTTTTTTTTTTTTTTTTTGGCGGTACGCGGGCCTCTCACCGCTGCGGCCTCTCCCGTTGCTGAGCACAGGCTCTGGACGCGCAGGCTCAGCGGCCATGGCTCACGGGCCCAGCCGCTCCGCGGCATGTGGGATCCTCCCGGACCGGGGCACGAACCTGCGTCCCCTGCATCGGCAGGCGGACTCTCAACCACTGTGCCACCGGGGAAGCCCAGGAGCAGGCACATTTTAAGAGAATAATCTGACAGAATCAAATGCGAGCAGGGTATGGTCTTGACTGGGAGGTGTTTAAACACGGTCCCAGCCGTGGGGACGGGAGACCTGGACCCGTGCCGCCCAGCAACCACGGAGGAGGAACAGACATCTCGGAGCCTCCAGACCCCAAGGCCAGCGGCCAGCTGCGGAGCCGGAGGGGCTCAATCCCAGCAGCTGCAGGGAGCTCCTGTCCACACCCCGGTGATGCCAGACGTCGGGGGGGGGGCCCAGTGCGGCGCACCTGGTTGTGGGCGTTGAGCTCCTGGTTCTCGCGCTGGCACTGCCGCAGGGCCTGCCGCTCGGCCTCCAGCGCCTGGGCCAGGTGGGCGTTCTCCAGGCACTTCTGCGAGTACTGCTCAGAGAGGACCTCCAGCTCGCGCTGCACAGACTGCAGCTCCTCCCTGGGGAGAGGGCACTGCTCACTCCTCTGCCCTCGCCCCAGGGCCCAGGCCTCTAAGAAGCTCAGAGTCCCCTTCGCGAAGCCTCAAGGATGCCGAGACCCACACAGCAGAGCGACCGCGAGCAGAGCCCTGCACCTTGTGGCCATGCAGCTCGGCGGCTCCGTCCCTGTGCTCTTACCAGCAGTCGAAAAGCCCCCACGGGCGGCACTCCTCTCCCAGGGTCAGGAGAGGCCTCACCCACGCACCCCAAAACACGCTGTGTCAGAGAGAGGTCAGACCTGGGACCGTTTCTAGCACTGTGCCAACTCGATCCACGTTCAGAAAACCAAAGCCTCGTGACGTCGTTCTCGGCCACCCTGGACTTGAGAAGGGCTGGTACTGTGGAACCGACACCCCCTCCAGCCGAGGTGAGCTGCTCCCGGCCACCTGCCCACCCACCTGCTCCCTGACTGCACTGCACGGGAGCCTGGGAGAGGAGAGACCCTGACTCTGTGCGTTGCGGAGCCCCATGAAGGCTGGCTCTGCACGGCCCCTGCAGCAGCCAGTCGAGGCGCTCCGAGTGGTGCGAGTTCCACTGAGGGCAAAACTAAAGAGTGGCCGTGCTGGTGAACGCTCCCCATTCCCCTGCCTCTGCAAAGAGAACTGGCACACGCACGTCTTAAAGATGTAGGGGTCGTGGCCACTTCTGCCACGCACAGCCACAGAGCATCTGTGTCATGCGCTACACCGCGTCCCCTCCCCACGAACTCCTGAAGCAGCAGCAGCTGACGGACAGAAGGAATCTGGGGTAGCCTCTGAGGTCGGCCCTGAAGATCCGACAGTATTTATAAAATCTCCTCTGCCACGTCTTATTCTTTACATTTTAGTAACTGGTTTCTGTCTGACTCAGTAACAGGAGCCCACTTGGGCCATGAGAGCAGTGGTTCGCTGACCCCCAGGTTGGTGCTGGGCCCCTCAGGAAGGAGGCTCTGAGCAGCCTCAGCGCCCACGGGCCTCCACCTGCGCCACCCTGGGGACCCGAGTCTCTGTGGCTCTTACAGGGAAGGTGCCGCCCCGCCCCCGAAGGCCCTCCCTCCGGCCCTGCTCGCAAGGGCCACCTCCGGTGACTCACAGGTACTGCCGCTGCAGGGCATCGATGTCCGCATTGACACTGCTGATCTGGGACCGCTGGCTCTTCTCCAGCTCCCGTTCCATCTCCTCGCGGTGGGCATTCTTCATGGCTTCGATGGCTGTGGACAGGATGTGGCCCTCAGCACCCACGGGCTTGGGAGGTGAGACCGACAGGAAGGCGGGACATCCCCCCCCACTGCTCATGCCAGCCCATTGGCAGTTGGGCCGGGAGGATTCCCGAGGAACTCCCCCATGAAAGGGATGCAGGTGTGTTTTTTTCTTGATGTTAACAGAAAACCAAACTGATTCAATAAATGTCAATGTTAAATCCAAGTATGAGTTTGTAGGACAAGCAGGCTTTCAGGCTAGGCCTGTTTTCTTAGTGCCGAAATCACAAGCACCGCAGGATAGTTACATGAACGGAGGGGACACAGGCCAAAGGCCCAGGGCTCAGTCCGGACGCTCTGGGCTCTCACGGACCAAGGGCCGCGGGCAGAGGTGTCCGCTGCCAGAGCAGTGCCAGCAGACGGGCCGATGAGACCAGGGCAGCCCCTCACAAGCACCAAGGGTGCCGGCGGCCACGGAAAGCGGGAGTGCTGGCGCGGGGCTCTCGGGCTCTCAAAGGGCTCCTCTAACAAGCCTTTCCCCCAAGAGAACTGTCCAAGAATTCTCGTGGGTAGCAAGGCTTCAATCTCAGCCGCAAGACGGTGAGAAGGCCAGTCACTGCTCAGAGCTGTGCGATCAGCTCAGGAAGACCCTGCGGCCCGTCCCGGGGTTAGCGGCTCCCACCTGAGATGGTGGCCGCGGTCTCCTCAGCCAGGAGGCGGTCTTTCTCCTCCCGCAGTTTCTCCAGTTCCCGCTGGTGCTGCCTCTGCAGGTCTTCGATCTTCTTCTGGTGTGTTTCTTCCATGGCTGCAAACCCTCGCTCGCACGTGGCCTGCAAGGTGCACAAGAGGCTTTACGGACTTTTCTTCTGCTATTTTACTGAACAGACCTCAGCCCTGCCCTCCAGGCTCCTGGCACAGAGAAGGTGCTCTCTTGAGCTGAGCCCCGCGCCAGCTGTCTGGAGACTCACTCTGCTCCTGCGTGTGTCATGCTCCCAGAGCATTTAGAAAAGGGTGCCTGATTTCTGCGGTTGTTGTGCATCCCATTTCTCTGTAAAAGAGTTGGTATCGTGGGCAGGAAAAGGCCGCAGTAGAATTTAAAATAGCCAATCCTGGACCTTTATGGACCGACAGGAGGGGGAAGGACAGAGTGAACGGGCAGAGGCTGGCCGTGTCTGGTCTGAGTTTCATGGGCATCAAGCACAGTCATGAACAGTAATGTCTTTGTCAGCCGCAGGGAGGCAAGGCCATCCTGTGAGTGACGGGTAGCGGGTAGCCCAGTGCACGGAGCCAGGGGGCCCAGCCCTGCCACTGCCCAACTTGGCCGCCCTCACCGGGTCACTGAACCTCTCAGGCGTCCGAGAAAATTAGGCTAGGGTGTACAACTTTTCCTTTTCCTTTGGAAGGAGTACAAAGAGGGGGCACTAATTAACGAGTGCCTCTGCTAACTGTACCGAGACCCACGACAGAAGAGCTGCTCCCCAAACCTGTCTGTGCCTCGCTGCAGCCTGGCTTGGTGTTTGACCTAGACGTGGGTGTGGGGAAGGACACAGGCATGACCCAATAAGAAGGGCTCAGACCACCCCACACCCCCTCACTGTGTAGTAGCCCAGGCCTGGCTTATCAGCTGGTCTCACTGATGGGGTGGGTATGAGGGGTGGTCTGTGCAGCTGTTCTGTGCGTGGAGGCACATTTCTTGTCTAAATCCCTTGGAAGATCTGTTTCAAAGTAGGGATCGCGCCTTTCACTGATCCTTAAAAACTGGAAGAATGTGGCCACGTTAATTCCAAACCCAAGTATCCTGTACTTGCACATGGATCAAGGAAGGGTACCAAGAAATCCAGCCTCCGTGTGGGCACCTCTGTCTCAGCCCCCACGGTGCCTGAGAGGCCCTTCTGAGACTCTCCAGTCAGTATTTTTCAAACTCACGGTCAGAGTCTGGACTTCCCTGCGACAGATTTGCCTCACTGGGGAAGTGGTCTTAAGTGCTGTGCGCCACTCACTGGGCGTTTTTCTTCTTGCAGGGGCTCCACCTGGAAGCTGCTGTCTCCTCTCACTGCCCTCACACCCCGGGACACTGGAGGGTCCTAGCGCTGCCCTCTCGCATGCTGTGGTTCAACGTGGACTCTTGGTTAACACATAGCTGCAAGGTCTTAGTTTGATTTGAGGGCTTTAGAATAAAGATAAGGGTCAAAATTCTTCCTACAGAAACACTAAGGTGTCTTTAAAGACTGGCTGCTTCCTTGGAGAGTATATGTGTTTAAGAAACAATCTAATTTTTAAGGCAGTAAGTAATCCCTGGGATCAATCAAAGTTCCTCGGCAACCACTGTGCAGAGTCGTGAGAAAGAGCACCAGCCTTCAGCTATCAAAAGAGGGGCCCTCAGGCCAAGACCCCAGTCTCCCTGACCTGGGCAAAAATCTGCACAAGTAACAGCTGTCAGCCGGGCCCCAGGAGAGTGGTTTGGTTGTAATTTCTGCGTGTCTCACAGGGCCCAACAAGAATAGGCACAGGACAGAGGACGCCGCCCACAGCAGGCAGCATCCAAGCCCCAGCCTGCATCACCGCCGGGGCAGAGCCTGCCCCCAGTGTCAGTCCAGGGCTTTCCTCCCTCCCGGGTTCGTGCCGATGGGCATGAGAGCCAGGCTGGGCCTCGTCTGAGTTTCCTGCTGCGCAGACGGGCTGGGTGTTGTGGGAAGCGGCCGGGAAGTTACTTTCAACGCGGCACTGGTATGCGCCGGCCGCACGGGGACTGTGTGGCACTTTCCAACAGCCCTTGAAGCTTCCTTGGGATCCAGAATGGCCTTCAAAAGCTTTGCACTGACTTAGTGGAAACGGCCTGGCAGGCACTAACGGCCCGCCTGCTTGTCGCAGCAGCGCCGGGCTGCCCTCAGGACTGGACGCACTGCCGGCTCACAGCTGGAGGACGGGGCTGGGGACGGAGGGCACGGGAAGAGCCTGGCGTCTACTGGATGCAGCTCAAGGGATGGCGAGAAGCCCGAGAGAACGAAGCCCAGAGCCCAGGCTGCCCTGATGGCTCCACACAGCCCAACGCCCCAGGGCCCGAAACGTCACCTTGATGGGCCAGGGCCTGGGAATCCTGTCTACCAAGGTGGGTGTGAAACGGGGTCGGGGTGTGGTGGGAAGGTCACTTCTCAAAACCCCTGGAGCAAATAAGGCTGTGCTCCCTGTAAGAGCAGCCGTTCCCACCAGATGTCTGTCCCCTCAACACCCCACTGCAAACATTCTAGCCTTTGGGAAGCCCAACTCTGCTCTCCTAGGACAGCAGGAAGAAGAGGACCCTCCCCAGGTCCAGGTCTGCACAGCCTGGAGGTGGGGGCAGTGGGGGAGCTTCCCCACCACCCTGCCTCGCCAAGCCCTGCTGGGACCCCACCGCAGCCAGTGGGAGGTCAAGCGGGGAACAGCCCATCAGCTCCTTCTGCTGTTCGGTGACTTGGAGCCAAGAACCGTGTCCCAGCTCCGCCTGCACTGGACGCCCCCCGACCGCTCTGCTTCGAAACCTTGAGGCTCTCAAAGTCCCTCTGGCGCTCTTCCCGCAGTGAGGCCGCGCCACCCGCCAGGTCCTTGTGCTCCAGCGCTTCCCGCAGGACGTCCACCTGGGCCTCCAACTCCTGGATGCGCCCCTTCAGCCCCATCATGGAGTCGGCCTCCCCCTCAGCTGGCCGGCTGGAGGATGGGGGTCCGTGGGCTGGTGGGGCGGCAGGGGGCCGCCCCTGGTAGTGGTGCAGGGTCTCCTGCAGGCACCGCAGCGTCTGAGAGTAATGCTCCTGCAGGGCCCGCAGCTCCTCCTCATGGATGGCCTGCAGCTCCCTGATCTTGAGCTGGAACTTGTCCTCCAGGGTCTGCACCTGGTCCACAGGCTGCCTCTCCAGGTCCTGCCTGTCCCCCGCCAAGGCATCCAGCTGGCTCAGAACCCTGCCACGCGCAGTCTGCGGCGCACCCTCCGCCCGGCTCAGCCGCTCCCCTGTGTAGCTGACCTTCCACTCCTCAAACCACCCTCGTGGGGCAGCCAGGCTCTCACGGCGCTCACTCTGCCCCTCTTCCAGACGCCTCTGCTGCTGGCCCAGCTGGGCGACCTTGGTCTTGAGCTCCGCGTTCTCCCGTTCAACGATGGCGATCAGCTCCAGGTACTCGCTCTTCTGCTTGCGGAGAAGCCCCTCGTACTCCTCCCTCAGGGCCCCCACAGCGTGCTCGTGCTCCTGACAGGAGGCCCCCCCGCCCGACCAGGACTCCCTGTAGCCCCGGAGCTCCTTTTCATACTCCAGGCGGATCCTGCAGGCTGTGTAACACACCTGAGCCTGAATAATCGCATCTTGAACTAATAAGGAAGAATACTGGCCGAGGCCTCCCAGACAAGCGCTACGGGAGAGATGCCGGGATGCCTGGAGAAGCTTCTGACAGTCTCGCACTGCCTCCACAGAGAGAAGTGAGGTTAAAGTGGCAGAGATCTCTCCCAAGAGACTGGCCTTATCCTTAAGCTGCAGGGCGAGCTCTTCCTGAATAGCAACCAAGGCCCCAGAGCTCTGGCTGGACAAGGGACAGAGAGCCTGCGAGCCAGCTGGGTCCGGATGACTTGGTACTTCTTCCGGCAGGCTCCCAGTCCAGGACACCTGGACACCATCTCCGGCACCTGCTGGAAGCTGGAGGGTTTCCGAGACCTGCAGCATCACTCTCTCGAAGTCGGGTGTCTGGTAGGCCCCTAGGATCTCCCCCAGCATGCGCTTGTGCTGCTGCAGGGCTGCCTGTGTCCCCTGCAGGGTCTCCTGGATGCTCTGCAGCCTGCGCTGGAGGGACCCCCTCACCGAATGCACGGCAAGGCTGAGCTCCGCCCTGACCCACGTGGCGTCGGCCAGGGCAGCGACCGGGGCTGGCGGGGCGTTTGGCCGCCCACCTCCCGAGGCACTGGCTGCCTCTCCGCCCAGCGTCTCCAGGTGCCGGCTCAGGGACTCGACCTGGCTCCAGAATTCTCCATCCACCAGCACCTTCTTGGCCCAGGCATCCACTGGGGCCCCAGGACAGGCCACGGTACTTTCGGACTCCAGCGGCCACTTTCCGGACTGAGAGATCTCGAGGAGCACGTGCGAGATATCGGAGGTGGTGTTTTTCAGTGAGTCTGCTATCTGGTCTATCAGCGTGGCTTCCAGAGCTATCTGATCAGAAAGGAGCTGGAGCTGCTCCTGGTCGCTCAGCTCCGGCAGGTATGGTGGCTGCCGTGAGGTCGCTTTCTCTTCCTCCGAGAAACCCGCCTCCCCTGTGGGAGGCGGCTGGTGACACAGGGCCTGGATGGCGCCGACCAGCAAGCTTTCCACGCCGGCCAGGAGCCCCGCCCCCGCGTCAGCCGGCAGCGACCGCAGCTGTTCCCGGCAGCTTTCCAGGCAAGCCAGGGCCTGGCTGTTCTTCACCCGGAAGTCACCGAGCTCCTCCACGTGGTTCTCAACCACCTCCGCCCTCGCCTGTCTCTCCTGCTCCAGCTGGGAGGCCAGCGCGGCGACCTGGAGCAGGCTGGCACGGAGCTGCTCGCGCAGCCGCGCCTCGGTGCCAGCCCACTGTTGGTGCAGAGCGAGCAGGGCCTCCTGGCTCTGGCCCTGCTGGCTCTCCAGCTTCACTGTCACATCTTTGAGCTTCTCCTCGGTGACGTAGAGCTTGGTCTCCAGGGAGTGGATGATGGACAGGTAGGTGTCCGAGTCGCTGGTCGCTGGGAGCGAGCTGGGGGTGGCCTCCGACGACATGCTTTCCTCCGAGGGTGAGCGGTCCTGACTGGTGTCAGAGGACGTGCTGCTGGTCCAGGTCCTCTCAGACCCGTCAGGGTGGGTGTACTTTTGGCACTGGATCGTGGAGAACCGGATTCTTTGTCTCTTAAGGCCGGGTGCTCCCTGGTCGGGCTTTGAGGTGCTCTGCAGGTGCCCCTCCCTGTCGGACACTTCCGACCTTGGGGGCACTGGGCTCTTTTCTCTCCTGGGGCTGCTGTCCCTGTGCTCCTCCCCCAGGGCAGCCCCCGGAGGTGCGCTGGCAGCCTGGAGCTGTGGGCCCGAACGCGCGACGCCGTCCTCCTCCTCGGCTTCTTCCAAGAAGCTCCGTGGCTCCTCGGCGTCCTCTGAGGACTCCTTTGCCTGGAGCTTCACTTCTGTTTCCTCTAAGCTGCTCCCCAAGACAGTCATCTTAACCAGCACATCCTGGAGATCCCGCTCTTTCCTCGCCAGCGCCTTCTCGTGCGTGTCCTGGATGCACCTCAGCTCCTCCTCCTTCTCCCGGAGCCGCGTGTGCGCGCCCTGGAGCTGGCTGGCCACCCTCCTGTAGGAGCGCTCCAGGCTTTGGTAGTCAGCCTCCCTCCCCTTCAGCTTCTCCTCAAGCGCAGCCACGTCCCCGTCGGACAAGGCGACACGGCCCATCAGCTCTTGGAAGCGCTGTCGGATCAGGTCCCGCTCGTCTCGGAGGCTCTGGACGTGCTCGGCCAGCTTCTGGATGCTGGCCTCTTTCATCTCCAGCTGCTCCTCCAGCCGGTGCACCACCTCACTGCCCTCGGACTTGGCACTCAGCTTCTCCTTCTGCAGGACCTCCATCTGCTGCTCGTGGTCCTGGAGCCGGTCCTCGAAGGCGCTGGCCCTGTCCTCTGCCTCCTTCAGGCTCTGCAGAAGCTCCTGCTTCTCCCGCTCACAGCTCCCCAGCAGCAGCTCGTAGTTCCTCTGCAGCTTCTCCTCCATCAGCCTCTGGGCCCGCTCGCTGGCGCTGAGCTGCTGGCTGAGGTCGGCGATGCGCTCCTGCAGCCTCTGCACCTCCTTCTGCCGGTCCCGCTGCAGCGCCTGTTGCCTCTCCAGGTCCCGCAGCTCCTGCGTCCTCCCCAGCAGCAGGGCCTCCGCGCTCTGGAGCTTCCGCTCGCTGGCGCGCAGCTGGGCGTTGAGCGCGGCTTCGCTGTGCTGCCGCTCCTCCAGCTGCTCGCGGACCTTGTCCTTCTCCAGCTTCAGCTCGCCCTGGAGCTTGGCCAGTGCCTGCTCCTTGATGGTGAGCTCGGCGGCGGCATTGCCAAGCCGCGCCTGGAGGCTCCGGATCTCGGCCTCGTGGTGCCGGATCGCGTCCTTGGCCTCCCCGTAGCTGCGCTTCAGGGCCTGGATCTGCCGCGTGATGAGCTCCTGGCGCTGGCACTGGGCCTCCAGCTCGCCGTGCAGATCCTGGTTGACTCTGTGGAGCCTCTGCCAGGCGCCGGACGGGCAGGTGGCCACTTCAGTCTTAAAAAAACCGATGAAATACGGGTTAGTAACACTCGGCCTCCCAGTTCTGAGTGTCACACCTCTGGCCAGGGTCAACCACAGAAAGGCTCCTTGGTGGGTCTGCCTTTTATCCTCTGCACAATTTTATTTTCATTTAAAAAAAAAGAAAAACTAACAAATCGTCTCAGTTTTTTTTTTTTTTTGGTAAGTAGCTGCTTCCAGGTAAACAGAAAACATGGACATTAACATTCAAAACAGCTCTAACCGAACAGCTTCTAGGAGAAATAAACCAAACAAAACTGAATAATGGAGCACACTGATAAGCAAAACGAAGACTGAGGGACGAGAGACTCCAGCAAGAGGGACGGGCAGGAGCAGAGCAAAGCATCCGTTTGTTTGTTTTGCAAAACAAAAGGCACACAGCTCCAGACCACAAACCCCACCAAAGCGCAGGACCGGTGACGACGCCACTTCCTTCTGGGACAGGGGAGAAGGAAGGGAGGCACCGCTGGCGGATGTCAGCGAGGTGACATCCGAAACATTTTCCTGTGAGAGGTGGAGCCCGTCCTCTACAGTAACAGGAAGAACTAATCTCTACCTGCAAGAAGACAAAACGAAGGGGAAAACGCAAACCATGGAGTGAAATACGAGAGTTAACAAAACAAACAAACCTTTGTGGCATATTCAAAATAAGAAAGTGAAGCACGCAGAACATAAAACACAACTGAAACAAAACTCCCCAAACCAAAAGGCATGCAGAACAGACAGAACTAATTAACGCAGGAAAAAAGAAGAACGTGAAAGGAGTGAGAACAGCTCAGCCTAAGAACTGGCCTGCCTGTGGCTCCCTCCAGGTGTGCTGGTGGGGAAGCCACAGATGTGACACTCAGTTACGGTAAGTTAGACACTCCACGTCCACACCCTGCCAGCTCCTCCCGGCCATCGGCGCGGAGCCCACCCCCAGCTGCAGATCCTTCTCACCCTTAACCCCAAAGCCCCTTGCTCATTCAGACTTTTGATTATAAGAATTGTCAAAGCACATAGGGAGGTTAAAAGTAAACTGTCCTTTGACCTGGCGGGGAGGTGTCAGCGTGTCAGCTGACGGATGGGCTTCAGTGCGGGCTCATGCAATCGTCCAGGTCAGACACAGGACAGGGTAGTAATGTTCGAACTCTGCTGCCAGGATTTTTACCACCTGGTGTGAAATGAGTGCGTGTAGGATGGCGGCCCAAACCAGGGTTTAAAAAGATGCTTCCCAAACCTGCGAGGTCTGCACAAATGACTCAGAAAGCCCCAGAGTGAGACATGCAGGAAAGAGGGGTGCCCCCCCATCACCAGGTTCCGGTACCTCAGAGTCTGAACTGGGCATGGCGACACCTATGGTTGAAGGGCTAAGGAGGAGGGTCCAGGGGACACGGGGTGCCCAGGGCCATGGCCAAAGCTTAGGGGGAAAGGAAGGCAGAAGAAACGTGCCACAAAAAGGGCATGGAGAGAGGTAGGAGGGCAGACTCCGCCCAGAAGATCCACTCGGACCAAGGAAGCTAGTGTGCCGCAGTCTGGAAATGCTGATGAAAAAACTTATCACAGAGATTCTGAGTCCTTGAGAGTCTGAAGAGCCCTCGGGGACGAAGTCTAGGTCTACACAGGCAAGGAGGCTGATGCTGCAGGGGAGGGGCGCCGCGGGTTCTGGTCAGTGCAGGACCCTGACTTGAACGCTGTGCCTTCAGCCTTGGCCAAGAGCTCGAGTTCTCCGTCCCATCGCCCTGTCTTGCTTTCCCCCCGGCACTCATCTGTGAATCACCTCTCCCCACTGCACATTGGCTGAAGGGGCAGGAGAGCGTTGTTTTATACCCCAAAACTAGAGCAGGGCCTGAAACGCTGCGGAAGAGTTGGCTCACGTCGGCCTGCTCCATCCAGGTGACCTCCTGCCTGACAAGATGCCTGTGGCATGCCCGCTGCTGCATGGGGGTGGCGGGGGGCGGCACTCTGGCACAGAGGCCTCTGCAGGAAGACGCTAGGTTTGGACTCTCAGCTCAAGACTCAGGCTGCTGCCCTCCCTCCCCTCCACACCACTGGGCAGGCTGGCTCAGGGCTGGGCGGCCATGTTTCCCCCTCAAACTTCAGCCTAGGCAGAAAGTAAGAAATGGGCCACTAGGCTAGTGGTAACAGTCCCAGGCTGCCTTGTAGGTGTGGTACAGACACGGTCAGGGGCAGGAAACCAGTTCTAGCTCTGCCATGGGCTTGGCCATAAAAGGAGGCATGTGGCTGTTACTCAAGTTCTTAAATTTGTAAAATGGGACTAATGCTGCCACTGTGAAAAAAGTTAGAAACAACATGCAAACATGTGATGTTGATAATAAATATATACTGGACTCTTTGGAAGCCAAAGAGAAAGACTACTACTGAAAACATCTAAATAACCCTTCGACGTAGAGGGCTCAGGCAGATCCTCCAACTTGTTGCACAAGGAGGAGACCCAGGCAGCCCACTGCCCAGGGAGCCCGCTCCAGTGGCACAGGAGTCCAGAGGCCTGGCACTCGGTTTTGCACGTTCCTAGCCTGCCTGGGTCCTGCACACTGAAGCCCGAGGGCGCCTGGAGGGCCGTGGCGGCCCCGCAGCCCTACCTGCAGCACATAGCCCTCCCGGGCGCTCTGCTCCCGGCCCAGAGCCACCCTCAGCTGGTCCTGCAGCAGCCGGTTCTGCTCTAGAAGGTCTGAGGCCTCCTTCTGGCTCTGCTCCAACTGTTGGCAAAAAGACACACGTTTTTAAGCAAAATGGCGGTAACAGGAGCAGCAGCATGGCACGGGCGCTCGGTGGCATGCCCAGTTCCAGCTGGGCTGGAGCTCAGTGGCACCTCCGAGGGCCTTGCAGGCGGCCACACCTGGGTGGATGTGCTCCTCGAGTCTCCACCCAAGGTTCCAGCTCAAGCTGTGAATCAACCTGGGCAGCCACGTAAGCTCCACACCTGCTACAGGATCCACCAGGTGCAGACCCCACCAGGAAATGAGGACTTCGTGCCCCTGTCAGAGGGAAGACTGCCCGCTGGGGCCTTTGGGTGTCCTCAGCGTGGCCAAGCACGCCCGTGCTGCCCCAGGGCAGGCCTCACGCCAGGCTCGACCTTGGCTTCTGGGGAAACCCTGTTTGACCAGTTGGGTACAATGGATTTCATATAAAATTCTTTTTGTGAGAAGAGGTCCTCAAGAATTGAGCTGCTTCACACTCTTGCTGTCACTGGCTGTGAATCCAGCCGTCACCCATCTGCCCCCTTCTGGAACCTTACCTACGTGCCCTCAGCTGCTGGGCCGTGGCAAGCAGGGAGCTGGGTGTGCAGCAGACTGTGCTGACCGGCACGCGGACCTTGGTTTTCAGACCTTGCTGTCTGAAACAAACTCAGGGTCCAGTGTGTGGCCTGTTGACTTGCAGGCTCGTTTTGGCTGTTTAGAGCAACGTGAGTTTGAACTGTTACTCTTCCACATCTTGCCTCTATTACTGTATTAACAGGCATAGAAAATGGAAAAAACTGGGAAAAAATCCAAGTGTTGATGCTAGTGATAAACGTCAGCCTCGTGAATCTAACCAAATAAGAAGAAGATGAGAAGTGGGCAGGCCAGTGGCCAAGCTGTGATTTCGTTAGCCACCCAAGTCAAGCGCACACGTGAATCGCATCCTTGAGGACTCCTGAGAGGCAGCTGGAACTCCACCTCCTTGGCCGTGGCACCTCTGCTCAGACTCACAAACCCATGGCCCAGCTTCTGCAGATTTGACTTCTGGGCGCTTCCTCGTGAAGGGAAATGTCACGTTACCAAGTGCAGGGACCGCTCACCCACCTCTGCATCCGGAGGAGGCTCGTGCCAGGCCCCCCAGCAGGCCCGTCCTGCCCCCAATACCTAGAATCAGCCCCGCCTCCTGCTGCCTGCCCCGCACCCATCAGGTCTCACTGAGGGTCGCAGGGCTGCCCAGTCCAGACAGAAAGCTAACTCTGTTCACATGTCTCTTCTGCCCCCAGCCTCTAGTGCGTGGCAGAAGCAGGGCAGACGGGGCCCCACCTGGCCTGCAGTCCACCCGCCTCATCTCTGGCACCTCTGGCTCTCAGTGTCAGCGCCACTCCTCTGGTCTCCAGAAGGGCCTGGTGCCCTCCCTGCCACCCCCAACCCCAGCATGCCTCAGGCCTGCACTGCGCTGGGGGGGGGGGGGGGGGGGGGGGGGCTGTCGCGTGTCTGTCTGCCTGAGGGCCTGCAAGCTCCTGGGGCGGGTTAGGCACAGCGGGTGCCGGGGAAGGTGGCTGCACAGAGCTGCCCTGCCCATGCCGCCCGGCCATTACCTCCTTCTCCAGCACAGAGGTCAGCTCGGGAGTGGACAGTCGGTCGCTTCCATCCTCAGAGGACAAGTGCAGGGGGGCGATGGGCACTTGTTTCTCCTCCCGGAGAGGGGTGGTCTCCACCTGATGCCACCGCTGCTCGATCTCCACGTGCACGTTCTGGGTCCTGAGGTCGGCGGTCGCGGGCGGCCCCGGGCCCCGGTCGACCTCCATGCGCAGGGCCGTGTCGTCGATGCTGGGCCCGTCAGCCACGTCCACCGCCCCAAAGCGCTTGCGCCGTTCCTCCCGCCGCCGCGCACGCTCCCTCTCCAGCTCGCCGGGCTCCGCCTCGGGCCGTGTGGTGGCAGGTCCCGGGGCGCCGGCTCTCTGCTGGGCCAGGGCCTGCTGGATGGGGCGGAACTCGGCCCAGTCGAAGGTCTTGGAGCGGCCCTCCCGCCTGCGCTCACGGGCCCGGCTCCGCTTCTGCTCGGGGTCTGGCTCCCCGGGCTCCCCGTCCTGCTTCTCCCGCAGCCTCGTCTCCGAGGGAGAGCTGCTCCGGTCTTTGCCCTGCGGCAGCGAGCTGGGGCGGGGGAGACAGTTGGTCAGGTGGGGCTCCCGGCGACAGGGCCCAGCTCCCTGCTGTCACCACATGCCTTTTTCTACGCGGCTGTGGCTCCCACAAGGAAGGGGGAGACTCTGCCTTGACTCACTGACACGTCTGTGGAGGGAACCCCAAGTGGCACTGAGTGGTGACAGCAGAAAAGGAGCCGCAGACAACAGCCCAGAGGTCTCCCGCAGGATGATAATGGGGGGGCCGCGAGCCCCTTCAGGCTGCGCCGGGCACGGCCACACCCACACAAGGCCACGTGGGAGGTAGACCCCACGGCACGCAGGCACTGGGCCGGCGGGTTGGAACAAGAGAGACCAACAACCGCTTCCCTCGAAAGGCTCATGGGTTTTTAAAAAGCAGGTAAGTAACACGGTCAGGTCTGTGTTTTAAAAAACCACTCTGGGTGGCTGGCGTGACAGATGGATCAGAGTGATGGCCCTGGGACCACCTGTGGGCCAGTGAGCTCGATGGCCCAGGTGGCACCCACGAGCCGGCACCAGGCAGGGGCTCACTGAACAGGACTTGAGAAAACTTGGTGGCCCACCCGGGGCAGAGGTGAGCAGGAAGCAGGACACTCGAGGGCACCTCTGCCTGCCCAGCAGCTGGATGCACCTCCCCCCACCTGCCCCACAGCGGAGGTCCCCGGGCAGGGTGCTGTAGGGCACTGGTTGTGGCCGTCTGAGGCAGAGGTCTCCGGGCTCCAAGGACAAGAGCCTGCGACCCTGGCCTGAGCTGACTGGCCTCTGGTCCCCCCCAAGCCCTCAAAACAGGGTGGGAAGACCCCCAGCGCGGCGAGGGCTGGGCCTTGGGGACTCCAGGGAGCATCTGTGCTTGAAAGGTGGCCAAAGAGAGGGGAGCCGCAGAAGCAGCACCTCCCGGTCCCAGGAGGTGGCCCTGGGAGCTTCCAAGTCAAGACCACACGCTTGCACACAGTTTCTCCAGAACGGACCTCTTCAACAATGCCACTGAACTGAGAGCTGGCCCAGGCCTCGGACTGCATGAGCCATTAGGATGACACAACAAGCCGGACCCGCCACTATCCGCAGGAGAAGAAGCCCCTGCGACTCCCCACCAGACTTGGGGGGGCCGCGGTGTGCAGCTCAAACCCACACTTCTGACATCTGTACCTGTTTCCAGTAACTTTCCCGGGACATGGCCTTGCTGCACTAAAAAAAATCCATCTTTTCCTCAAAGTATAAAAGCCCACATGGAACAAACTGGGTGAGGCAAGCACCCCGGCTGTGAGGCGGCTGACCCTGGAGTGCACTGCTCATCAGGAGGACACTGCTGTCCCCATGGGCTGTGGCCCCAACACGGAGGGGAGGCGCCTCTCCCAAGCCATGTGTCGCCTGAGCGCGTCCTTCCTGCCCTTTCTGAGGCCAGAGCCACACACCTGCGACATCCCAAGGCTAACGAACCCCAGCCGGGCCCCGACCCACCGCACGCAGCCTCCTCAAAGTACCCGGAAAGAGCTTTGGTCTCTGCTCCTGGTCGTAGAGACTCGGGAACAACCAGGTATTCTGTTCGTGCAGTAAATGAAGGAATGAACAAACAATCGAACAGACAACACAGGACGGAAGGACTAGAGAGAAGAGTCCTCCATTTAGGGTCCCTTCCTGCCTTCTTGTTCAAAGAGGTGCAGGTCACTAGCAAGGAGGCCAGAACTTGACCAAGGTGTGAGGCCGCCCTAGGCCAAGGAGCACTCCGTGGGCACCAGGGTCGCCCCCTGGGCGCAACCTCCAACGCAAGAGAGTCACTCAAGAAGCATTTAAACGACCGGACCGAAAACCGCAAGCAAGAGGCTCTCAGAACCGGCGAAGGCGCCGAAGCCGTGAGGGTCAGGGCAACAGAGTTCTCGACATCACAGCGCCAGCCACACACAGGGAGCTTCTCTGCTTTTTGTAAAATGAAAACTTCAGGTTTCTAACCATCAGGGCAGGAGGAGGAAGGTGTGGGGCGAATCACGAGGTTTATGAAGCATGGATGTTGACACGGGGAACCGTTTCCCAACTTTGGCCTCCAGCACCAAGAGATGCAAAGAGAGCTTTGTCACAGCTGCACGGAAATCCAGCAGATTCAGGAGTGAGGCAGAAGGGTCAAGAAAAGGAAACGCTAAGGTGGCCTGTGAATGCGGCATCGGAGCCGCCCTCACCCAGCCGTGGCTCAGTGCCCGGGCCCTGGGGAGCTTCTCCCGCGGCCAGGCCTGAGGGGGAAGGGTAACCTCCCAGGAGGCCAAGTGGAGAGTGAGTAAGCGGCGGACCGAAGGCCGGGGGGCAGGCTGTGCTGGGCCCCTCGAGCACCCTCCCGGCTCACCTGGTCACGTCGGGGGCAGAGATCGGGTGGACGTGCTTCATGATGGTCTGGATCCAATTCCGCCGGATTCCAGACGTCATAGCAGAGAGGGTGAAGGCGCCCTCCTTTGTCTACACAGAAGACGAGGAGTTAGCAGTGACTGGCACCTCCCCACCCCTGAAGAAGGCCCCGCAGGGAGGCTGGCGGCCAGGTGGCCGTCCCAGGAGTGCGGTATGTGCCTCACTCAGGATGAACAGAGCTGGAGGGCAAAGGAGAGAGCAAAGCCGCGAACACTGTCATGGCTGTGGCTAACCCGGGCGTCCCCTCCCCATGGGACCCAGCAGGCCTTTACTTTTACTGACACTCCCTGCTCTTTAAGGAGCTCGCAGACTGGAAGGAAGGAGAACGTGCGTGCGGGGAGCAGCGGGAAGGGGCCAGGGCATGGCAGGGCTAGGGAGGGTGGGCGAGTGGACGGGGAAGGGGTGCATGACCCAGGTGGAGGGAGTGGGCCTGGGGCGTGCAACCACGCACAACAGGCTCACAGGGTGACTGGGGACAGGAGCGGCAGGCACGAGGCTCAGTGGTGGCTGGGGCCCGATGGGGGCTGTGTCTGTTGGGCTGAGGAGGCGCAGGGAGACCTGCTGGGCGGCCGGGCTGGTTGTTCAGGTGACGAGAGGGGCTTCAGAGAGGTGGAGGAGGTGGCATGCACAGCGCAGCACTGACAGGCTTGTGTGGGGGGGCACCTCAAGGACAATCCCTGGACCCCCACACACACACTTGGGTGAGTTGGTGGGATGCCAATCAAGATGAAGGACATCACAGGAGGGGGCAGCATGGGCAGTGGGTGATGAGTGGCCTGGAGACACAGTCCCTGTGGCCCTGAGCGGCCCACGCGGCTCTAGCAAAGCTGAGGAGGGGTGGGGATGCGGGTGAGGATGTGGTGGTGGCTGCACAGAGTCCACTCCCCTGCCTCTGAGCCCATGGGCTCCTGTCTTACAGAAGTGAGGGGATCAGAACTCTTCAAGCTGCTCAGGCTACTCATAAATGGACCCACGAGATGTCAACAAAACAGCTGATGGGAAGACACTGTTAGCAAGATGGGTTCGGGACAGGAGCTGGCGTGGCCAGGGGCCAAAACTAAGAGAGCATCAGGGCACTGCAGAGCACAGCACAGCACGGGGTGACCTCGGCCCACCCCAGACCCCACCTGACGCCCCATCTAGACCACAGCCCACCACCCACGTCCACTCCTCTCTCCCTCCGGTTCCCCCCAAAGCAGGCCAACCGGGGTGGGGGGGGGGCGTGGCCTCCAGGCTCCCTGAAGTGCTGGCCCCCGGGCCGCCTCCTGCTCCTGGTGTGCTGTTTATGGAGTGTGACCTCAGCCACCTTCTCCCACAACCTCAGTTCTCAGCTGCCACGAGCTCTCTCCCGGCCCCAGGCCCACACACTGGCTGCTTGTCTACCAGTCTCAGAGGGCCCATCTCGGCCTCAAACGCACCACGGGCCAGGACGCTGCAGGCTCCGCCAACTCCCGCACACGGCTCGCCGCACTCTGGGTCTCCAGCCCTTGACCCTGCCCCTCCCTCTCCCGGGCGCCCCGCACTTGCCAGACACCTGGCCTCCCGTCCCTGCTGCCCCACCAGATGCGTCTCACAGACACTCAGCTGCCTCCACATTCCGGTGCTTTCCACAACTCGGGGCAAGGCTGACTCTCAACTCGCACTCAGGGCTCCCCCATGCCACCCCGCCAGCTTTTATGCTCAGCCCCCTGGTAGATGCCACCAGGTCTGGTGGCCAGGCCAGGGACAGCTTTGCCCCTCGAGATCCTAAAGCTCCCTAGTGAGCCAGGCCGAGTCCCGCCAGGAAGCTGGCCTCCCGTGCTGGGCGCCGTCTCTCCCGACTTAGAACTCCCAGTCCACGGGGCTCATGAGAAAGCCCCAGAACTCATAAGCTCACTGCCCCCCACCCAGGTAAAGTGACGAGGGGTCAGGCTGGTGGACGACATCAGCCAGGGAGCACAGGTGACTCAGAAACGCCCCATCTGTGACCAGGAGAGTCCCAGATCACGGCCTTACTGCACAGAAAGTGACCCTAGAACATGATGATGTAACCTGCTCAGTGATGGGAATGGACGCATACCCCCAGGGTGCCCTGCCCAGAGAAGCCTGCCCTTCAAGATGGGGAGGTGAGAGGCTTCCCTGGTGGCACAGTGGTTAGGAATCCGCCTGCCAACGCAGGGGACACGGGTTCAAGCCCTGGTCCGGGAAGATCCCACATGCCATGGAGCAACTAAGCCCGTGCACCACAACTACTGAGCCTGCACTCTAGAGCCCACGAGCCACAACTACTGAAGCCTGCGTGCCTAGAGCCCACGCTCCACAACAAGAGAAGCCACTGCCATGAGAAGCCCGCTCGCCGCAACTAGAGAAAGTCCGCGCGCAGCAACGCAACCAAAAAGAAAAAAGAAAAAAGATGGGGGGGGGGGGCGCTCAGCGTGCGGCCCACAATGCCAGAACTTGGCACCGTCCCCAAATCTGTCCACAGAGAGGAGGCTAGAAGTTTAGCTCACTGAGCATATCTTTTCCTCCTAAAGGGATGAGGGGCAGAAGGGCATCACGGTGGGACGGCACGGGCCGTCAGACTGGCGCCACCTTCAGCTATGACTTGGTGCCCCCCACAGATGCCCTGCAGCCTGGTGGACTGGGGGCTGGATTTTTCCTTTTAATGAATTCATTGGCCTTCAGATCTGAACTCACTCCTCTGAGTTTGGTTAATATTAGTCATTGCCACATGCTGCATCTAGGCTGAATCCAGAGATACAGCTGAGTCTCTGGGCCCAAATGTCAGAAGGTGACGCTGCAGGAGTCCCAGCCGGGGAGCCCCAGTGTGACAGCTGTCAGGCCACTTGGTTCCTATCGCACGCCTAAGGCTCTCATGGGGGAAGAATTAGCTTTCCCCAAAGGGAGGTCTGGCCTTTGCCCTGTGCCCTTGTGATGCACAGTGGGGCTAGCCAGACCAGAAAGACCAGCCATGCGGTGAAGGGCTGGGGCTCTGGCCATGCGCCATCAGCCAGGCTCTGGGGGACAGGGGGCTGGCACCTGCATTTGACCATGTGGACAGCAGTTCAGTTGATCAGTTATGAAGCCTCTATAAAAACTCTGGACACAGAGGCTTGGGCCTGGCACCAGGCCTGAAGCTTGGGCGAGCTTCCCATGTTAAAAGCTCTGTGTGTCATCACACGTCAGCGCCAAGAGGGAAACACGTCCCAAGGGCACGAAAGCTTCATCTAGGGCCCTCCTGTTCAGTCCAGTTCGCCACGCGTTGCTTCCTTGGGCTGGTACCAATCTGTATCCCTCTGCTGAAGTAAATCTACAGTCCTAAGTACGGTGTTTTCCTGTGTTCTGTGAGTCCTTCTGGCAAATTATCAAATGTGAGGGTGGTCTGGGGCACCCTCAGACTTATAGGTGGCATCAGAGTGAGGGCAGACACGGTAGCCGGGGGCCGGTGCCCTCACCACGAGCCTGGCTACCTCTGAGCAGCCCTTGGACCCCGAGCTTTGATGACATGGCCAGTGAGGACTGTTTCATCTGTCCGATCAGATTATTTTTTTGAGGACGGGGCAATGCCTTCCTCGTTGGGAGGTCTTCACAAGATTGTGGGGAGAAAGGACTCCAGTGAGTGGGTAAGTGGATGAATGAAGGACAGAGCAAGTGCATAAAAACCCAGCACCCTGAGAGTTAAGAACTCAACACTTTCACTCTAACTTCCCACATCCCACATCCTTCCAACTGGCCCGAACTCCAGCGTTTAAAAAATGGGAGAAAAAGAAAGAACCTTTGGTAAAAAACCCTTTTAGACAGCCTTGAGAGAGATGCTAATGTCTTAATGTTTGCCAAGACCACAGATTGGGGGTGGGGTGAGGAGCTCCAGGGCAGAGGAGGGGACAGGATGAGGCACCAGCTGGTCAGGCCCACGGCCCCACCCTTGCACTCAGCCTCCCTGCAAACCCCACCCAGCTCACATGGATCTGGAAGCCATAGTTTCTCTGCACTGGGTACTCCGTGACATCATAACATGTAGACAAGTCTATCTCCCCATCCAAGTCGGCCGCCTGCGGAGAAAATGAGGGATTTAGAAAGTAAAGGCCAGTGCCCCGTGAACTGTACATGCTCACAGGCAGGGCGCCGCCTACCCCACACCACCTAGAAGCATCCACACCACCATTTTTCACACATCCTGCCAAAGACATCCCATGCCCGTGGTTCTCAAACCTCCTTTACACTCCTAAAAATTGATGGTGCCAAAGAGCTTGTTTATGTGGGTTGTACATACTGATGATATCTGCCTTATTAGAAATTAGGAAAAAAATTGAAAAAAAAATTTATGCATTGAAGTACACAAACCCATTTCATTTTTTAACAAAAAGTATCATTTAAAAAAAACAGCAAGAGACTTTTGCAACTCTCTTTAGTGCTTAACTTCCAAGGACAGCTGGGTTCTCACACCCGTCTCTGCACTCAAGTCTGTTTGTTGACATGTTTTTTTTTGTTTTTTTGTTTTGGCGGTACACGGGCCTCTCACTGTTGTGTGCTCTCCCGTTGCGAAGCACAGGCTCCGGACGCACAGGCTCAGCAGCCATGGCTCACGGGTCCAGTTGCTCCGCGACACGTGGGATCCTCTGGGACCGGGGCACAAACCCGCGTCCCCTGCATCGGCAGGCGGGCTCTCAACCACTGCGCCACCAGGGAAGCCCTGTTGACATGTTTTGGTTGAAGCATATGAAGACAGTCTGGCCTCACACAGATACGAGATTGGAAAAGGGAAGTGAATTTTAAGTCTTTTCAAAAAGACAGTTGTGGCTGTTCTCCTTTGACAAGTGGTAGTTTCTTGAAGGTGAACTGCGAAGGGGATGCTTTCTGTCCTCTGCTGCATTAGAACCCATGGTTCTACCCTGCTCCTTGAGGGGGTCTTTCACCCCCACATGATCTGGTGACACTGTCTCGTCCTCTGGAAGAGCCCCCAGATACTGACGTTTCCTTGTACAGGAGCAAACACTGCATTTGTTATTATCACCACCTGTTCAGTCAGGAGAGTCTGTAAGCTCGGGGGAGACTGTCAAGTTAGTGATGGTGAACGCAAGTTTTCCAAAGTTCCAGTTTTGCTTGGAAGCTCAAACTGAATCACTGGTAACAATTCTGTCGGTCGTTTTCCTTGAAGGAAGAGACTCACTTGGTTCATTTTTAAGAAAACGTCTGCCGAACACCCAAACCGAGCGAGCACTTGTGCGTCGTACATTCAGGCAGAGGCGGTGGGCCGCGAGGAGAGGTGGCCGGCGGGGCGGGCAGCGCAGGCAGCGGGCGAGTGCTCCCCCGGGACGGCCGTCACACCTGGACAAGCAGCAGGAGCAACCTCTGCCAACCTCCCATCTCACATCACAGAGTATTACCGAAGTGGGCACCTTTCCTGCTCTGTTAAGGCCCTTTCTGTAACTTCACAGTGTGTGGCGGTGAAGGATGCACGGGGGCCAGCCACCTGCTCCTGCAGCATGACCAGGCTGAGGCACCCATCAGTGCAAAGGCCAACACAACGGAAAAAGGAAATGGCATCATAGTTTTATGACACTATTTTTGTTACAGAAGAATCCCTGAACGGGTCTCCAGGGGTCCACAGACCACACTCAGAACAGCCAAACACCCATGCTCCTGTGGCCCCTGACTTCAGGCTCCCCCAGAGACCCACCACCCACACTGCTCTACATCTGTGCTTGTGTCACTAACGTCCTTCCACTGCAGTCCAGACAGAACTTAGTGTCAGGGTATACAAGCAGCCCCTAGCGTTAGACATTTAGGTTCTTTCAGATCTCCTGCTGTTACAGAAGCGCAGGAACCACTGACATGGAACACATCTCTTTCTTCACATGTGGGAGTATATCTGAAGGATTCCTGGAGTGGAATGCAAGGGAAAAGGTGCAGAAACAGACTTCCAAGTTGCTCAAAACAGATGATTTTTTTTGTAGGTGAAGAAAAAAAGAGCCCCTTCTGTTTGGTGTTCGACCATGGAATCAGGACTCTCAACCAGGCTGGCCAAGTTCACCAGCCACGTCCCATCCTTGTCCAGAAAACAAGGGGCAAGATTTAGTTCAGTTCTTTAAAGACTCAATTCACCACAAAATCTCTGTATAGAAAGAACAAAACCACTCACCCTGAGTTTTAAAACAAGACGTCTTTCAGTGTTCTTCAAAGAACACAGACAAGAAAAGCCACCGGAACCCCCGTACCTGGGTGCTGAAAGCAGGGCCTAGAGAGCCCACTTCCCAGCAGGAACCAGCCCCGGGAACGTCAGACTCCTCTGCAGACCTGGACTGGGCTACCCGTCCACCCGGAGGGGACTTTGGCCCAGGAACAGCCGTGCCACCTGGACCTCCCCTGTCCCTACAGAGGAACGGAGCTGAGACACTCACCTCCTCAGCCACCGAGTCCCTGTAGAACCTCAGGCTTTGATCAGCAAGGACAAACCAGTGTTTCTTCCACTGAAAGAGAAGGGAAAACCAAGACTCAACTCCCACCCTTCCCGCTCTGAGGCACCCAACAGCCAGGGTCCTGGGGCACCTCACTGGGCACAGGTAACGCAGAGGGCAGGCGGCCCCTCCCGCTGGGGGCAGACACACACAGGACTCCACTCGGGCCATGGGCAGCCATGCGCGCACAACCTCTCCCCGGCGACGAGGCGGTGCGGACAGCTGTGGTGGGCCACGGGCTGCGTGTGCTCCACCCGCAGAGGCGTGGCTGCTGAGCGGGGCTGCGGCTCCAGAGGCTGCAGATAGGGGCTGGGCCCCCAGAGCCAAAAGGAGGCCACCTGCAAGCCACGGCCACCCCCTGGCTAACCAGAGGGGCGCCCACCTGCCGCCGGCAGGAGCAACCCAACCAGCTGGCCTCCCAAATCTTCACTGTGAGGAGCAAGGCGGGGAGGCTTGAGGCTCCAAGCAGGGCCGAGGGGATTGATGTGGTAGAGAGAGAAGAGGGCATTTGGGCACGGTCACTCAGGAAGCGGGGAGGGGACTCTACGGGCCTCTCGGTGGGACCCGCAGGCTCATCCTCCTGCCTCCTGGGAGGCCTGGCCTCCACCCCAGCAGCCACGAATGGCTCAATCTTCCTGCTCAAGTCCACTGCTCCCCGCAGGGCCGCGGCTGCACCCTGGCTACTGGCTCCACCCCACAACCAGAAGGCCCTCCTGTCCTGGGGAAGCCTGGGCTCTCGGGAAACTTCTGGGAAAGGTCACCAGGTGGGGAGCCAGTGCTGCAGCACGTCCCCAGGCCTGATGCTGAGACCCCGTCGGGAGCAGGAGAACAGTCCCTGTGCTGGCAGTGGGCAGGCCGGCGGCCCCCACCCCCACTGCACCCCCAGTTCTGAGGAGATGGGGTCTCAGCCACGACCCTGGTCCCCAAGATGAGGGGGTGTGCTGGAGGCGGGGGACAGGGCCAGCGCTCATACACCCGCAGGGACAAGGCCAGCTGGACCTCACGCCTGCTCCCCGGCGCCTCAGGAACCACAGCAGCTCTGGCCACTCACCTGGCCATCCTCATACTGCCTGGTCAGCCAGCCTTTCTTGAAGTTCAGCAGGTCGGGCTAAGAAAAAAAAAAGAACAGTTGAGAGGAAAGCAGCGGTGTCCCGGTTCTGGGTAAAGGGTGACTGGCAAGGCAGCTGTCTCTCCCCCAATGAGGGGGCCCCGGAAAGGGGCTTATCCACCTGCCAGAGGAGCCCCCGTGGCCCCTCGCCCTGACAGGGGCTGCCAGAGCTGCTCCCCGGACGCGCGTCTTCGAGGAGCGCGAGGCCCCCTCACCCCGTGAGCAGCACAAGTGGGGCTGCCTGACTGCTGCGCCCGCAGGGCCGCCCGGAAGGCAGAGAAGAACGGCCCAGACAGAGTCACCCGGCATTTCGCGTGGAGGGAAGCTGTGCAGCGATGGCTGAAAGGAGAGCTGAGAAGTTCTCACAGAGGCCACAGGAAGACTGAGAGCAGAGACCACGCCCCGTGTGAAGCAAGACGCAGCAGCAAGCCTGCCAAGACCCTCAGGCCACTGACCTGCCAAGATGAGTCTGAGTCTCCGTTTCCCTACAAGCAGAACCAGGGCCGCAGGCACCGAACGGGGCGCTGTCCCTGCTGTTCCCTCTGGCACCTGTGCGCCAGAGCCTGAGGAGCAGCCTGAGAGCACCTTGAGGGCCGCAGGCAGGCAGCCCCCTGGGCCTGGCTTGTGTCACACATCGGGGCGCAGGCAAGGCCAGTGTGGAAAGAGATGTGGCCCACTGCTCCCCTCGGCCCGTGTGCTCTTCCACAGCCATCACGACCAGAATGGGGCTGTGTTTTTATATTCCAAGGACCCAAGGAGGGTTTAAGAGAACACATGCCACGTAGTGGGACACCAGTCAGCCACACGCGTCCTGGAGCCTCTGCTCCAAACCCGCGAGCGAAACCCAGACTCCAGGCAAGAAAGCCTCCACCCTGGCCCCACGGCTCCAAGTCAGGTTGCCGCTGGAGGCCCCACGCCTGGGAGGGGCGGCATCAGCCCCAGGCTCCTCGGAAGGCTGAGGACAAAGCAGAGGAGGGCCCATACAGCTGCCAGCTGTCCTCACTCCTGGGACGCTGGCCTGCCACGCGGGGCTCCCCAAGGGAGGGATGGGCCCGCTCGACCCGCCTGACCACTCCCTACCTGCACCCGATGGCCACGGCTCCCATGCCCTGGAGCAAAGGCTGGGCTCCCTCCGTGGTGACCCCACGAACAAGACAAGTGCCCAGCAAGAGGGGGGCTCCCGACTCCAAAATGTCACAGAAACAAACACCCAAAACAAGAAGAACGGAGGTTCGTCCTGTGGCCCTGATTCCCCGGAGCCAGAATTCCGCTGCTCTGGCCAGATGGCCTCCTCCGCTGCGGACCTCAGAGCTCAGGATGCCCACGCAGCCCAGAGAAGGGGCAGAAACACGGCACCTGCTTCCCACGCACGGACGTGAGGGCCCGTGCACAGAAGGGACGCCAGCGCGGAGGCACAGGCAGCAGCAGCAAAGAGCCCAGGGGACAGAAGCAGCAGGAGCAGCGTCTCCAGGCCTCGGAGCGCGGGCGCCCGGGCTCACCGTCAGGGAGGGCTCCGTGGACCTCCTGTCCAGTGACTTGGCTCTTCGGTGTGGAGACAGGGGGGAGGCCGAGGCGTCCGGGAGAGGAGCTTCGCTGGGGAGGTCCTGTGGCAGAGAGCAGCCCCGTCAGCACCAGCCAGCCCCTGGGCAGCTGGAGCCGCGGGAGGGCCGGGCTGCAGGGCCATGTTCCGGACGAGGAGGGGGCGCTCTGCCGTCTGGGCTCCCTCAGCACCTCTGCCCGTGAGGACAGGACCTGCGCCCAGACTCCTAGTCCCACGCCTCCAGCTGCCCGCGGCCGGGGCCGAGCCACCCTGGTGGGAGAGCAGCCTTTTCTTGCAGACGCACCAGCCATGTGGCTCTCCTGGCCCCCGTCCTCCCCGGGCCTCGTGGGGTCACAGAGGAAAGACGCTGGGCTCTGTGCAGTGAGCACTAGGGCCCCTCTGAGCCCAGAGAGAACAGGAGGAAGACGGAGGGCAGACTCAGCGGGGCCACGAGAGGCGGGTGGCCCAGGAGAGGTGGGTTTCAGAAGCGGAATCCACCTTGGGGACTGGGTGGAGAGAAACTGGGGCTGTGGCCACCACCCGAAAGAGAGAGGAAGGAAAAGTATTCAGCCTCGCGGCCCGACTGCCTCAGAGAGGAAGAGACTGGCTCTGGTTACGACCTGGGACCCAAAAAAGGCTCACGAGAGCAGCTTTCAGCAGAGACGGACGGAGCTCCGAGAGGAAGACGCAGAAGACAGGCCTCACCCTCAAGATGTCCACTCAATGGGGAAGGAGATGAGAGACCCGAGAGAGAACCAGGAGATGCGAGCGGGAGGCCGGGCAGAAGAGCGTCCGGGTGTGAGTGGGGCCTCGGTGGGTGTGGGGGCCTCGTGCTGACCCTGCCCCCGCCGCCCCGGAGCCCGAACGCTCACCCGCTTCCGGGGGAAGGCCCTCTTCTCGCTCCGGCCCTGGCGAGTGTCGCTGGACAGCGAGGGCCCGGCTGACACGTTGGTCTCCATGTGCTCTGCCTTCTCGATGTCCAAGGCCTCAAATTTCTCTATTACCTGGGACCTCCTGCAAGAGAGAGCATGAGGCGGCTGAGGGGGAGACAGGGTCCCCCAGAGCCCGAGGGGACGTGGTCCGGAGTCTCGGAGGGGCTCCCGCAGCCAACACCCCACGCCTGGCTCGCGCAGGGCCCCGGCAGTGCACACCGCTCGCTCAGCCAGCTCGCCTCGGACACCCCTGCTCCCTCTCCCACCTCCGCTGAGGGGGGTCTTTTGGGGGGCTGCCAGCAGTTCACGGGCAAGGCCCTTCCCTTCCACCAGACGCTTCCTTGCCCTCTGCCTCCCAGCCCCCACACTGGAGTCCCCGCACACTCTGTCGCTCTGTCGTGCTGACGAACTCGGCAGTCACATGCTCAGCGCTCGGCACCCTCTCCTGAGCCAGACGCATCAGAAGGCAGCTAGCACCTCGGAGGGCACCGTCCTCATCACATTTCTCAGCATATCTGATGTGGCCCCCACCCCAGGGCATCCAAAATTTAGCAAGAAAAAGACCCACGAATTAACATTGTTTCTGCCAACAGTAAAAAGAATCAAAACCCAAATTAAAAACAAAGCAAGTTGATTTCGTGTGAAAGGGCGGGCGGCATCGTCAGGCCATCTACGGCTGGAGACGGAGCTGAGATGGGAGCGAAGCAGGCGGAGGAGGGGCGAGTAACGTCACACAGCGACACAGCAGGAGGAGGTGGAGAGGGGCAAGACCTGAAAGAAAATAAGGCTGGAGAATGAATAAACAGAAAAGGACTGCTTGTAAAAATCAAATCATGGTAAATCAAAATTATTCAAAGAATTAAAGTAGCAAAAACCCGAGGTGATCACTGAGGAGCGCGACCAGTGAGGAGCCACGAGCAGCCGCATGGGGGACACGCCCTCGGGGGCTGCCCGCGTGTCTCCGGCCAGAGGCCTGTCCTCCCAGAGATGCCGCCCAGGCAGGCGCCCCGAGATCGCCTCACACGGAGGGCTGTCCTTGCATCTGGACGAGCAGCAGAGTCGAGGGCACCTAGTGAAGGGCCGCTGGGCCCAGAAGCCTAAAGTCTAACTCCATGAGGAAGTGGGGGAACCGGCCCCCATCCCGAGGCCCCGGAGGCCAGCTCGCCCTCGGGAGGCGCACAGTACAGGTGGCTCTCAGGGCTTCTTCCTCAGGAAGGCAGAACTCCTGGGGACCCGGCTCCCTGTGAAGCCAGGGCCTGCGGCGCTCTCAGCTCCCGCGGAGTCTCCTCCAAGGACAGAGCTGTCCGCAGGCAGCCTGCGGGGCCAGCAGCGGTGCGGCCTAGGGGCAGCAGGGGAGCGAGCGAGCGCGGGAAGCCGGGGCGGCGGGAGGGCCTGGGAACCACGGGGAGCTCTCGCGGGTGCTTGGGCTGGCCGGGCGGCTGAGGTGGCCTGTTCCCAACCGACCTGCCGGGTTTAGAGGACACTCCAGGCCCGCTCACAGGCCTCGGTGCCGCCACATGCAGAACGAGAGCTCTTCCAACTGACCCCGGGACCAGAAAGCCCCAGGAAGGCCTTGAGGAGCAGCGCCCGGCAAGGCACAGGCGAATCGCATGCTGCGAGCCGGCCATGGCCGCGAGGGGGTCAGAGGAGCGGACAGGGCGGCGCCACCTGCCAGGGAGTCAGCCACGGTTGACTCTGCCAAGTGGGGCCTTTGAAACTTGGGTCCATTGAAGCCCTGCAGGTGTGACAGCAAAGGCCTCCCAGGTGGGCCAGTGATGGGACGGAACCCGACCTCTCCAGGCTGCCAGCCAAGGCGCAGACAGGACCGCCGGCAGCTGGTTCTGGGGTCAGTCACCAGCAGTTCAACCAGGGCCAGGGCCCCCCACGCTCAGTCGGCAGCAGCTCGCCATCCGAGAAGGATTACTTCCGGGCCAGGGCTCGTCAGGAAACCCACCCCTGAGGCCCCCCAGTCGGGCTCCCGGGCCACTGCCACTCTGGGTAGCTGTGGCCGGCGTCCTGCCCACGTGGGGTTCTGTTCTACATCACCAGAGACAGGAATCCAGTCCAGCACTGGGAGGGGCGGCTACTCAGGACCAGAAAGCAGGCCTCGGAGAGTGACAGCAGCCAGTCAGATGTCATGAGGGGTCAGTAGGAAAGTGACGTGACAGTGTTAGGATGCAGCGCGGAGGGGCCCCAGGGCAGCCTGCACCAGGTGAAAGCACATCCCCGTGGTAGCGAAGAGCAGGCGGAAGCAAAGCCCCAGAGATGCCGTGTAGCCTGGGCTGCTAGCTGAGAGGGAACTCCAAGCCAAGCAGGTGCGCTGAATGTTAATTCTTTGGTCCCCGCCAAACCAGGTGTGGCTGCCCACTCAGGGGCCTCCAGGATGCAGCAAGAAGACTGGCCGCCTACATCTGGCAAGTCGTTGACTTATACTTCTGGCAAGTCCATTCACTTATACTTAAGTGCGCTCAGGACAGCCTCGGCCCTGTCCCGGGTCCATCCTGGCAGCAGGGCCCTCCCGTTCCCCGGTCCGGCCTGGGGTTTATGTCGTGGCTCTGCTGTCCCAGGCAGTTCCCGTGAGGAGCCGCCCTGCTTCTGCGCCCCCGTCTCTGCCCCTGCATACCAGGGTGGTCATACATCTCTCAAGGTTACTAATGAACCAGGCGGACAGACACTGGAGGGCGCCCCCCAGTACAGGTAAGCTTCCCCCTCCCCAGCACTGAGGCACCTTGTTTCCTTCTCTCTCTTCCTAGTGCTGGAGGGCACATTTGGGAGAGCAGGTGGTGCTAAGAAGCAAGAGAGCAGGAGAGCAAAGCAACCTGCTCCCAGCCAACCCCTCGAGGGGGAGCCCAGGGCCACCCAGTCTGTCCCCATAGCTCGCCCCAACTCTGAGCTGGGCTTGGGCAGGGGGAGGGTGGCAGCAGGACACTCCACAGACACTTGTGGAACTTGGGTCTGAACCTCTTTCTTAGAAAACAACTTCTTTGGAAATGTAATGAAAACTATGGATTTTCTTTTTCCAGAACATGAATCGTTTGGAGAGGTTCACATCCCACCAGCAGCCCACGCAGCTGGGTGCGAACCCTCTTGCTGGGCAGACGCCCCATTTATAGACTCAGGAGTGGAAGCTCCTACTGGCAGGGGCACTGGGGCACTCTGGGCCGGGCCTGGGCCTGAAGCCTCCGAGATGGAACCTTGCAAGATCTTGCCCCCCACTCTCCAGGGGAACGAGGGAAGGGCCCTCCTACCCTCAGACCACAGTCAAGTCCCACACCTCCACCAGCCCTGGCCCTGGCCCATCTCCAAACCCTGTCTCTCCCCAGGCACTCGTGTGTGTGTGTGTGTGTGTGTGTGTGTGTGTGTGTTGGGGCGGGGGGGCGCGGGGAGGAAACATGTAACAAAGTGTGTGAGGGTGTACGAGAATGTGACGGAATGCACGTGTGTGAGGGTGCACAGGTGGGTGTGTGTCTAAGAGAATGTGAGTGTGCACGGCAGGGGCTGCAAGGGTGGGAGAGTGTGCACCCACGTTTGCGAGCACATGGCCCTCCAGTCGCCCCCCCCACCGCCCTTACCTCCGCTCGTTGCCAAACAGACGGGCCACCTCTTCCCTGCCAGGGCTTCGGGCCCGAGTCCTACGCTCCAGCCGCCTTCTCTCCACCTGGAAAGCTTCTCGGTGGCTGATCCTGATGGCCTTAGGGACGTCGGCCAGGGTGGCATACTGCCTGCTGGCTTTAAAGGCAGAGGCGCGCCCCGGTCTCTCTGCACCCCGCCCCCCAGCGCTGCCGGAGTCCACGTGGGTAGGGGGCCGGCTGGCTGTGTCCAGGGAGCCGAAGGAGCCACTGCAGACGGTTCGGCCAGAGGGCTGAGGACCTGGGGGAGGAAGGGGACGGCCAAGCTCCCGGGAGGGCGGGCCGGAGCCACTGTACCTGTTGGTGGGAGTGCCGGGGCTGGGCGGGGAGAGCGGCGGCGGCAGCGGCTGCTCCTCGGCCTTCGCGTCCTGCTTGGTCTTCTCCAGGGAGAAGTAGCCGCTCTCCACCCGGACCTTGCGGCCACAGTCCACACGCTCGCTGCTCGAGGTGCTCTCCTCTGGAAGAGGGGCAGGAGACATGCTGGGCCGGCTGCCACCTCTGGTTGAGGACTTTCCAAGAAGGCACGCAGATCCAAACAGGCCACCTCTCTACCTCCCACCTCCAAAGGCTGGCGTGGCCCCCCCAGGGCAGAGCCCCAGGAGAGGAACTTACCCTTATCTGCCTCTCCCTACCGGGCTGCCGCTGACAGACTGTCAGGGGCTCCCTGAGCTTCTAGACTGGGGGCTCTGCTGGGAGAGCAGGATTCTCCCAGGAGAGACGTCCCAGCAACAACTACTTCCTACCGAACATCAAGGAGGAATCCAGGGGCCAACTAGCCACGCAACCTTTTAGTACATTTTTGGAGGGACGGGCAGAGAAGCACCTTGGCAGGAGTGAGAGGAGTGAACGGTTCTGGATGTGGATGGGCGTGTGCTGCCTGGGGAGGGCTGAGGGACCTTCTGCCCAGAGCCTGTACAAGATGCATTTCACCTGAACGAGCTGGGTCCCAACTGTCCATGCGCCTCTAGTGGCCTGGACAGGTGTAAAGGGAAAAGCCAGTCTGTCTCGTGCAGAGCCCTCTAGGGCCTGGACGAGGGAGGCTGAGGCTGCCGCCCCGCTTCTGCTCAGGCAACTCCAAGTGCTAGGTGGAGAAGCGCAGTCATGCCAACCATTTCCTCCCCAGCATCCTCTTCCCCTGCTTCACCCAGGCGCCTGGGCAGAATGGGACAGAGCAGGACGAGACAGCCCTCACTGCTGCTGCTCTCAGGACACAGTGGGCTTCCAGAGATAACGGGGACTTGAAGACGAAGCAGCCATGAGACACAGGAACCAGAGGCCCCCTTGTACACAGACCTCGTTACAGAGCATCCTGATTACACGACACCTGCCTGGGGCTCACAGAGCAGGTGCTGTCTTCCTCCTTTACAGGTAGGACTAAAAGAGCTACAGGGGAGAGGCAGGGCAATGGCTGGAGGCCAGCGACCCAGGTCCCACACCAGGCCAGGCCCAGCCCGGGGCTGACGGACACAAGGTGAGGGAGCCTGAGGCCCGGGGCTCACGATCGGCTCAGAGGCCCCGAGTCCCAGAACCAGCTCTGTCGGGAGGCCCATTCTAGTGCTTCCAGCTGGGGCACCAGGACAGGTGGGCCCGAGGGCCAGCCCGGCCACCACTTACCATCTCTGCTCTCCAGCCCTGGCTCCCTCAGGGTGCTGGCCACAGGAGGCTGGCTCTGGCTGGGACTCTGAGCTGGACTCGGGCTGCTCCCATCGGGCTGGTCCTTGGCCCTCATTTCTTCCTGCCAGAGTGTGGACTTGGTGGTGGGAACCTTCTCAGCACTGGGGATGCTGCTGCTGCTGCTGCTGCTGGTGACAGCCATCTTGGCCGGCCCTGGCTCCTGCAGGGGAGAGCGGTGTCCGTGCGGGCCTGGGAGCACACAGGCTGAGCCGCCCGGGTACCTGGCTACCAAGGTCAACTACACCATGTCAGAGGCCCAGAATGCCAGAAGGGAAGGCTCAGAACAGAGATGTCCTGGTTGGGCTGGAAGCTTTTTCTCTTCTGCAGCCCCAGCTAGCACCCCAGGTGGGAACCCAGGCCAGAGCTGGTGCTGCCCCAAGGGAGAAGCATTTGTGCGAGAGGTACTTAGCCAGACACAGAGTCCAAGGCCAGAGCACACAGAGAACCGTAACTCTACACTGCAAGCCTAGAGCCCAGACAGGGCAGGGCTGGGACCCCCGCCACCATGCAGCACCTGCTCGGGCCCTGGGCCCGAGTCCCTGCCCACCCAGGGCACTGGGGTGCCTGCTGCTGAGGGGCTGCCAGCAGGATGGCTCTGGGTGCCCCCAGAAATGAGGCACATCTCAGCTGTCTTTCCCCAAAACACAGGGACCACCTGCTGGGCTCTCGGGGCGCCGCACCCTCCAGCCCTCACCAACCACCCCGCAGGGGAGGATGCCTGGGCTGAGAGGAGGCGGCAGCCCACGCTCGCCCGGCCAGTAAGAGGCAGAGTGGGGCTCTGAGCACTTTCCACCACCAGGCACCCCGGGAGCAGGAGAAAGGCCCAAGAGGGGGCTTCACGTTGTACGGGCACCCCTGAGGAGCCACCAAGAAGCCCAGGCACCCTGTGTCCCAAAGTGAGAGACAGGCATTTCACCAGGTCCAAAGTTTCCTTAGTTCTGCAAGGATCTCAGGCTTCCTGGGATGGGATAAAGCCAGGATGACTCTTCCCACAGACCCAGGATACACCTGACCGCCCATTCAGGCAGAGCCATTAGCAGACCTGACTCCCCAGCTGGAGATTCCCGAGAGCTCTGACCCACCACGGAAGAAGTGGACTTGGAAGAACATGGTGTGGTTTCTGACAGTTTCCTGAGACTAAAACAGAACCAGCTCCAATGACCCGAGGAAGCCTGGCCCTGGGGCCCCTGCTCCACACCCCAGCGGTGACGCTTTCCTAAGCAGAAGCCGTTCTGGGTGCCGCTGTCCTGCCCCCTCCCAACAACCTGAGGTTTGTGCTCAGAGGCTGGGCGTGGCTCTGCCGGGCCTAGGGTGGCACTGAGATTCCTCCTGCAGAGCTGGGCGGGGGTGACCTGAAGACCTTGCTCGGTGCATCTGTCCCCTCTGTGGAGGGGAGGCTGGACCAAGGGAGACAACCAAGGGAGACAGAGGCCGCCAAAAAGGGTTGAGGGGGAGGGGCGGCGCTGTGCCCATGATGGAAGGCCCTTCCTGCCAGTGCTCTCAGTCCCACGCCATGAGTGTAGCACCCTGGCACATGCATACCCCTCTCTGATGCCTGGGGTGAGCCCAGCACTGGGTAGGGAGTGGGCTTGCAAGGATCCTCAAGAGGCAGAGGAAATTCCAGGCCTGACATGCAAGGGGCAGTGACTGGGAGCTTAAGGAACACATTTCCCAGCACCAAGCGCTCCCAGACCTGCCTCCTGGGCCTGGGCCCCCAACCTGCACAGGGCTGGTTGCACCCACAGATCCCTCCCAGGCTCCCACTTCTGGGGACTCACCCCAGAGAACAGGGGCCCTGGGGTTCTCCGGATGGCGGCCAAGGCCCACAGGGAGCTTTTCTCCTCCTTTTGGTAGCCCTGCTTTCTCCTGCCTCTATGCCAAGCCTCACCGAGTCAGCAGGGACAGGAGGGCAGTCTAGCGGCAGGAACAAAGCCACTGTGGCTTGCAGGAGAGGGGCTGCTTCTCTCCAGCGCAGCTGGGTGGACAGCAGACTTCGCAGGGGCTGGGCCAGGGCCACACGGCACCACCCCCACCCCCCAGGCGTCACCATCACGGGAGGGAGGGTGCCGGGGTGCACGCCAACACAGATCCCTGGTGCCTGTGTGAGAGGAAAGAGGGGACACCCAGGCTCCCAGGTGCTGTCTCTGTGTGGCTGGGACAGCTGCACGTCCAGGGCTGTCAGTGCCATAATAAAGTCTGTGCTGTTTGGCTGCTCAGAAAGGGTTTTCAAAGCAGAGACGAAAGAGGAAGCAGGGCAGGAAGGCAGGCCCCAGTCAAGGGGCCTCTGAAGCCTCCACATGCTAAGCAGGCCCCTCTGGAGGGGGTTTCACAGAAAGCCTTGCTTTCTACCTCCAGGGCATGGAAACTGAGCAGGGACCCAGTGAGAAGGAGGGTCCTGACCCGGAGTGGGTATGGCAGCAAGCACCCAAGTGGAAAATAAGATACCTGAGAAGAGGTGGCAGCTGACAGCACATGTATGGGCCTGAGGTGGGCCGGGCCCTGGACCTGACGTGGGGCCTCACTCATGGAGAAAGGTCTGCTGTTTTATGGGTCTTTGAAGAAACGCCAAGAAGCAAGGGCCAAGAGCCTGAGCAGGTAGGGAGACAGAGGATCCAGCCCCTGGCCTGCACACGGGGCTGGGAGACACATGGCCCCTGGCCTCACCCGAGTCCCAGCTCTGGGCTTTGGGGAGAGGGAGGCAAGGGCCGCTGGTTACACCCTGAGTGGATGATCACTCCTCCTCTCCAGGCACCTCGTTACCAGGAAGTCTTTCCTCAAACAGCCTGAGCAAGAAGCAGCTCCCGGGAGCCTGTGCCTCTCAGGCTCCAGCCTCGGAGACTCTGGTCAGGGCCAGCCTGTCTCCCCCACTGCGCTGGGCTCTGCTGGGACCCCCGCCCCCGGCAGAGAGGACGTCTGCTCTCCCCCACAGCCCAATCCTCATCCCCCCTCATGCCTGAGGGGTGCCTGCACGCTCCAAGGCCCCAGCTCCCAAATGCCTCGACACCCTCCTCGAAACAGGACTCCGGGCTCCCCTGCCCGCCTGAGTTCCTAGAGCGTGGGGTGCAGCAAAGGGACACCTCCAGCCCCCAGCTGGTTTGATCCCAAACTCCGGGGCCATGAGAAAAAGGCTAGGTATGGGGTCTTGGGTTCTTGTCTCTATGGGGGCCCCTAAGGCATTAGGCTTTTCCCACAGCTGCATCTTGGGCTGTGGAGGGGAGGCCTGCCCAGAGACCCTCCCCCGCCCCCCGGACCCAAGTCTCCTCTGGACAGGCCCCACAGCCCTCCACGAGACTGACTGACAGGGGGTTGTCCCTGATGAAGGCTCACAGCTTCCAGAAATCAGCAGCCTTGAATGGGATGCTCAGGGGAGCCAGGGCAGAAGGACGAGACACCCTGCCTGCCGTAGGTCGAGCAGAGGAGGCTGGGACCTCAGTACCCTGGGCTCTAAGAGACCCTCAGGGAAGAGGGTGATCTCCCCACCCTGCAATCACATGGCTCCTGCTACCAACCCAAAATGTGAAGCAGCATTTGCGGGGAGAGGATGTCACAGGGGAAGGGACAACTGGGAAGCAGGGACACAACCAAATTCCCCGGCCTGGTTGAAAATGCCTTCTGTATGTGTATTTGCCTTATTTGGAGGCAGGAGCTCTGCTCCAACACTGTTTCCAAGGCATCGCTATGGAAACGCGATGGAACTCTAAACACCCTTATTCCGCCTGGGGTTTTCTCTCAAATCAGGAAGCTTTGGGGGATTTGCCTGTGTGTCTGCTGTTCCCCAGCAGGAAGCTCCACCTTCTGTCTCTAGGAACGCGTGCAATTCCATTTTGCCGACTTCCTGCCAGGGACACTACCTTCCAGGGGGATGCTGGCCTGGGACCCTTCGGGGAGGGTGGGCAGAAGGCAGACAAGGACCATCGGCTGAGAGCAGGCCGGGGCCACACTCCATCAGCAGGAGGGCCTGTGCAGCAGCCCAGAGCAGGCGTGGCCAGGGGAGTCTGAGGGGACGTGCAGGAGAAAGGGGACCGGGCCAGCACACACCTCCCTCTCCTGCCCAGACCTCTGTCACCCAGGGAAGCCCAGAGGAGCCAGCAGGGACTGATGAGCCCCAGAGGGTAGCCAGGTTCTCCACGGGAGGGCTGTCAGGCTCTGGGGCTTGTGAGATGCTCACGGGACCCCCGATCACCATCCTGTTCACTCTCAGGGGTGCTGTGAGGCTCAATCAGGCAAGACAACTGAGTAACAGGAAAGTTTGGGGCAGAGAGGAAAGGAATCACATGTACAGTTGGCCCTTTGAACAAGCAGGGGTTGGAGCGCTGCCCCCTCTGAGCGGTCAAATATCCAGCACAACTTAGAGTCGGCTCTCTGTATCCGCGGTTCCTCCATGTCCGCGGCTCCAACCAACCGCGGACCGTGTAGTCCTGCAGGATTTACTATTGAAAACAACCCACATAAAGTGGGCCCACAGAGCTCAAGCCCATGTGTTCCAGGGTCAACTGCACTGAGCACCCAGGACGGGCCCAGTACTTCCTTCCACACACACGGGTAGCCGAGAACTAGACTTCAACAGGCCCATTTTGCAAATCAGCTCACTGAGTCCCTGAATCCCTCCAGTGCCCTGAGCCCCTACAGGCCAGCCAGGGAGGGAAGGGCTGGACCTGGTGGGACCACCCCAGCCACCTCCCACTCTGGTCTCATGGGATCTGAGGCAGAGGCACAAAATCAAGGCCAGTGCCAGTGTTTTCCATTTATGGTCAACCCAGAGCATAAGTGGGGCCCCTCAAGAGCCCCTCACTTGGCTGGGACACTCTAGGACCCCCCTGCCCAGCCCCGCTGTTCAGCCTGCTGTCTGCAGAATCATCTCTGTGTGGGAAGTGGAGCTGAGCTGAAACCTTTCCTCCCGGCTCCCCAGCAGCTGGCAGGACGGTCGGGGGAGGGACACGCACTGTGCTACTGCTGCGAACCCCCTGCCTGCAGGGTGGATGCCTCTGGGGGCAGCTCCACAGCAGGCCACCCCCTCCCAGTAGGGGTCCTGCCTTGTGGCTCGGAGAGGAGTGTGCAGCTCACAGACCAACAGAAGGAAGGAAAGGACCCCAGGGCTGATGGCCACCTCACCCCTGACGTGACCCCTTTCCCTTGCGCCCTATTCTAGGCTGGGTACTGAAGCCCCCCAACCTCCTAGGGTGCACTCTCTTTGCCCCAGCTCCACCAAGGGGATGCCAGCTGGCAGCCCCGCCCTCACCTGTGGTGTGGGGGGCTCCACCTTCCGCTTCTTCTTCTGGTTCTGCTTGTTGGTCCTGGGATAGACCGTGAGCATCTCCAGCCAGCTGGGGAAAGAGGAGGGGGGAGCGCCAGTCAGACCCTGCTCTCAGGGACCAGGACCCCGCCGGTGCCCACCCAGCCTCCAGGCACCAGAGCAAGGCAGAGCACCACTCAGATCAGAGCTGTCACTGCCGGGGCAGGAAACCCAGCAGCGCAGCCGGGACGAGCACAGACTGAGCCGAGGGCACTCCCAGGCGCTGACCCCACGATGACCACAGCGCAGGCGGGGAGGCCCTTCAGGCCTGGAGATGGGGCGGGCTCCACGCTGGTGCGGCGGGAGGCCTGACCGCAGGCCCCTGCCAAGGACTCGGCACTGTTTCTACTACTGACCTTTCTCTGGGGCCTGGACTCCACTCGAGGAAGGAACCCGGGACTCTGCTACTGAACTTCCCCACAGCGGGTCACTTCAGGGGGCTGCGCATCTGACCTCCCAGACTCATTCGCTCACCTCTGGGCCCGACTTGCACAGGGAGGGCGCTGGGCACCTCGGTTTTGGGGAAGGCCCAGCAGAGCTGCCCAGGGACCCTGTCCAGGGACCCATACCAGGGCCCACATGCTGGACCAGCAGCAGGGAAGGCCACGGGGGAGCGTGGGAAGAACAGGGAATGAGGCAGGAGGCTTGGATTCAGATCTGGCTCTGCCACCCCCAAACCATGACCCCAGGTGGCTCCCAGGCCTCTGGGCTTCTGTCTCCTGGTCTCTGATGCCAGGGGCTGGATTAGGCCGTGACATGACCACTGCTTGCCTCACTGGAGCTTCGTAATAGCTGGGAAGGTTGGAGGAAGGGGAAAGAAGGAGGTGTGGTGGCGAAGGGCAGCCCCAGTGCTTTCTCCACAGGGGAAGGTACTGCAGGAGACACTGGGCCACTTCTTCCCAGAACCCCACGGTCCGTGTTGGGCCTGCTGCCAGCCTAGGCTGACGACCTGGTGGCGCTGGCTGAGCTGCTGTACAAGGCAGGGTCTGCACGGTCAGGGCCCTGGCTGTAGCAATGACCGGCACCCCAAGCCTGGGGCAGGGAGAAGGGCTCTGGTCTTTAGTTCTCAGAGGTGCTTCTTTCATTTGCGGGGGAGGGGGGCGGGGTGGAGGCTGGTCATAGCCGGCTTCTGGGACAGCCTAGGGGGCTGTGCTGGTTGTGCTGCTGACAGCTGTCAGCTGGGAGAGCAGGATTGGGTGTGGGGCATCCCAGCCTCCGAGGTGAGGCCCAGCCCAGCAAGAGCAGGGCATTCTCAGTTTGCTGAGAGAATGAACAGTCCCTGCACTGTGCAGACCTGACGCGCAGGTCCTGCGCCTGTGGTCCTCGAAGCAAGAAGGGAGGCCACGGCTGAACCTGCACAGCAGCGGGCGAGCACCCTCCAAGGCCTTCCTTCAGTAACCTAAGGAGTTCGCGTGCTCGTGGGGTTAAGCGGCCTGCTTTCTAGCCTGCCACGGGGGCTGAATTTCCTCTGGGAAGTTCACACCAAGGAACCACGCCTGCAGAGGGCCCCTCTTCAAGCTTTACCGGGGAGGGGAAGGGAGGGGAGGGGAGGAGAGACTGCCCGGCAAAGTCACCTCATCCCGCAGGGCCCCAGGAGCGGGGGCCGTGGCAGGGAGGGGCAGAGCCTTCGGGGTGCCCGGAGCCTCTGCACGCTGGCCCAGTCGCTCTTGAATGGCAACACTAACGAGCTGGGCAAACCTGTGCACCTCGCAGGACAGGGCCTCACGGGAAAGGAGAGAAGATCTGCCCCGCGGCTACGCTGCTGACTAAGTGGAGCCCCCGGAGACTCAGGGATGGAGCGCAGGGCGAGGGTGGACCCGGCCTGCCCCATTCAGCGGTGCCGTGGCCAGAGGTTGGGGGATGCCCAGTCCAGGCACAGATAATGGGCCGTGTCCCCCGTACTGGGGTTCCTCACAGCAGCCCAGCAGCATGTGTCTGGTGCTACCCAGATGGGTTACAGACGTTAAAATACACCCAGGAAAGAGATGAGTGCGGGGAATGAACACATGCGGCTGGTGGTGAATGTGGGCGCCAGGGACACGGTAGAGGGGCCCCTCAACTCTGAGGGCAGAGCTCAAAGGCAGCGGTATGGAGAGGAGGGGCAGCTGGGACCCAGCCCCGCCAGAGGCACTGAAGAGCCCCCTTGCTAACTCCTGCCAAATCTCACCTCCTCTGAAGAGCCAGGTGGAGCGGCACCTCCTGCTGTGAGGGGACAGGGAAAGAGACTCTCGCCATCAGCTCTGGGACAGACGCGGCTGCCTCTGGCCATCCGGGGGTCTCCATTCAGAGAAGACCCCGGAAAGAAGGCAGAAGGGACTGTTCTCTACTCCTCTCCCTTGAAGTCAGCACCTCTTTAGGGACCCATGTGGGGGCCCCAGAGCCCACAGATGAGGTTACCCAGCAAGGAGCCTTGCCAGGCGCTCAGACCCAGGAGGCCAAGGGCAGGGCAGAGGAGGGAGAGAAGATGCAGACACAGTCTGTCCCCAGGGTTGCAGGAGCCCTCGCACTGGGCAGGAAGCAGCGAGGCCCAGCCCAGGATGAGGGGAGGGGAAGAGTGTCAGGTAACTGGCTCCGGCTCTGGGTTTGCCACCAAGCCGCGACACTAGGCTCCAGCCTCAGGACCCCCAGGACACACAGCTGGTATCTCACCCGCTAATGACCTTGTCTACCCACGCTGCACAGGAATGGCAGGCCCTGTACATGCATATAGGAGTGACTGTGGGAAAGGGGCTCAGGGACTGAGCCGAGGACCCTGCCAAGTGCCTGACGGAGGGTCCCATCAGAGAGGCCAGAGACCACATGGCACGCCACTACATCACTGACCTGGGCCCCAGCTCACATGCTCCCTGTTGTCCTGGGGACCTCAGACACCCCTTTCCCATCCAACGTCACCCAGACCCCTCCCTAGGACCCAGCTCCCAAGTGGCGGGGAACAGATCTCCTCAAGGAATCCAGTTGGGCAATGGAACCTCGGCCAGGCGTGCCTGCCAGACAAGGCCACGGCAGCAAGTGTGAACCAGGACGTGCAAATGGCTCCGTGCTGTCACTCACGCCTGGAGTGACTAGGCTCCCTTCATGTCCTGGACCTCAGTCTCCCAACCGCAGAACGAGGGCTTGTAAAACCCTTTACACTCTTAAACCACAAGGTTCTAAGACGAGGATTAAGGAGTAGCAGTGAAAGTGGTCCTTCTGTTAGGCCCTAGAGTCAGAAACGCAAACTTGCCTCTGCCCAGGAGAAGAGGACTTGGGGTGAGCTGGCACCCCGGAGGGGGCCTCTGAGCCCCTTGGCAGCACGAGTCTGGCCTCTGCTCCACGCCCACCTCAGAAAGAACAGGGTCTCCTGGCCACACTCTCACTTTCTCACTCAGCAGCCCTGGGCAGGCTGCAGCTGAAGCCCTGAACCCCAGGCCAGGGCTCTCAGCAGCCTTCAATCTGTTGAAAGCAAAGTGTCTGACATTCTAATTCTCTGTCTTCTGTGCTGTAATAATCAGCCCAGTCCCCCAACCCCTCTGGTTCACTTTTTCATTTTCACCTTAAAGGATGACGGGATTCTGCATGACCCAGCACCCAAGCTCCCGGCAGGGCCGGGGCACCTGCTCGCTGTCATGTACCATGTCACGTACCGTGTCACGAACCGTGTCACGTACCGTGTGTGGCTGGGTGCACAGGACTGGTGGCAGGTGCCCCAGGAGCAGGGCTCCCAGAAGGCAGATGTGGCAGGGCTCAGAGCACGGAGCTCAGCCCGCTGGCCTATTGGCTGCCTGAAAATCTGGGCCCCTCTACTTCCTAGGGCTTCCCCAAGCCTCTTGCCAAGGCATGCTGGGGGAGCAGGTGACCCAGAACTCTGTCCCTTCCCCTCGGCTAAGGAAGGCAGTGCGTGCGGTCACCCTGCGGTGACTCCCATAGGCAGGCACGGGGCACAGGAGGGAGACACAGGCCTCCTCCACTCGGACAAGCCCCGCCCTTTATGAGCGCCAGCTGATGGAGCCACACGCGTCGCAGTGGAGGGCTTCCCAGAGACGTCACAGCTTTGGGGACAGAGGGTCACTGCAGACCGAGGGGAGGGCGGGAACGAAGGCGAGGAGCTGGGGAGAGGCAGCAGGGGGCGTGCGGTGACAAGCAGCTCAGCAAGGAGGGACAGGGCGGTGGGGGCAAAGGCTGCGCGGCTGAGAAGGGCCCCAGGGGCTTTCAGGCAGGAGGGAGGCGAGGTCGGATGAGCTCTGGAAACTGAGCCCCTCGTGGCTGAGCGATAGATGGTTGGAGCGCAGTGAGAATGGAGCGCAGACCCCAGAGAGAGGCTGGGAAGATGCGCCAGCGCCAGCAGAGGGAGGCCGCTGGGGGAGCAGGACATGCAGGGGCAGCCTGGCGAGTGTGTGGACATGGGGATGAAGCAAAGGTGGGTGGAGGGTGAGGCCAGTGTGGGTGAAGAGAGGGACTCACAAGAGGAGACACACGGGGCAGAAAGTGAGGGCAACGCCAGCTGTCGTGCCTAAGAGTCCTGGTCCAAGGAGCTGCTGGCAGGCGGGGGCCCCTCTTCCCAAGACGTGCAGAGAGAACTCACCCGCTGATGATCTCCTTGGTCTCTGCCCGGATGAAGTGCTCCTTCTCGGGGGTCAGAATGCACAGGGAGAACTTCTGGCCCGTGCGGCCCTCCCCATCCACCACGTCTGTGCACTGGTTCATGTTGATGGTGCCCTGAGGGAGGGTTGTGGGCTGCGAGAGGAAGAAGATGGGGCAGGGAGTCAGTCACTCTGGGGGCAGAGGAAGGCAGCAGGGAGTGTCCCTGCATCCCACGGTCCTTTCTGACCCTCTGTGCTTCTCCTCAGTCACCTGGACCTCTCACAGCTGTGCAGACAGCTGATTACAGCAGAGGACAGGGTGTGCACTGCCTCGGCCCGGCCCTCACAGCCCGCCTTCCCACTGACCCATCTCCAGGGAGGAGCGGTGACAGGCCTGCTCTTCTCAGAGGATATCCAGCTGGACATTCCTTCCCACTGGAGAACAACATCCCAGCTAGTCCTGGAGGAGGGCGGGGGGCTGGGGGGTGGGGACAGGCAGGAGACACTCCTTTAAGACAGCTGGGACGACAGAGGCAGCCAGGAGCCTGGTCTCAGAGGGTGACTGATCCAGGAAAGCAGGGAGAAAAGCTCCGGAGGAGGTAGTTTCAAAATAGCCAGGTTACTTTTAGAAGCAAGAGGGGGCCAGAGAGAAGCACATCTTGATGGCGGGCTGTGGGGCAGGCAGGCCACCTCCAGGGCTGCCCATGAGGAGCACCGCCAGGCTGCCTGGCCAGGGCCAGAATAACAACTTGCCCCCTCTTTTCTATCAGCTAGGCTATTAGACACTGATATCAGGGAGAGAAACCCAGAAATAAGAAAAGATGGTTTTAAGAAGTTCCTACTGAGGGGAAGGGTGAGGACCTCCCCCAAAACATGAGGAGGCTTATGGGCGGGGGAGGCAGGTGGCCATGGCTGCCACCACACCAGGTGCAAAGACCCCGCTGAGGGCTCTCACAGGGAGACGAGCCCCAGCTCCGACTCCCACCTCCACCTCCAGGGCAGCTGCCAGCTCCCCCAGCTGCCCCACGGAGCCCTCCCCAAGCGCTCGGCGCTTCCCAGGTCCTGGAGGAGCAGCAGGGAGAAAAGGCAATGGTGGCTGCTGGACTAGGGGCTGCCTCGTCCGTGCTCCCTCCCTCCCACCTGCCAGCAGAGGAGGGGGGCCCCGAGCTCTTCTGACCCACCGCCACCTCCCTTCTTATCCACTGGGGCCCGACCCCAGGAGCCAGACCCAAGGGGCACTGGGTTCCCCGAGTTCTGGCCCTGACGTGGCCGCGGGCTTGCTGGGCCACCGCAGGGGAAGGACTAAGCTCCCTGGCTCCCAGAAGCCTTTCTGTGGGGGGCCTCTGGGATCAGCCTGTCCTCCTTGGGCCCAGCTCAGAAGGGAGGTGGCAGGGCAGGAGGGCTGGCCGTGAGCCCACAACAGGGAAATAGCATGCACCCTTGCTGTGTATTCAAAGTGTGTCCCGTCTCCGAACTGCCCCCAGGTGGGGACATGACGAGGGGCCACACCCACGCCAAGCCTAGTGCCCTTGTTGAGTGAAGTGACCTGGTAGCATCTCTCCTGGGGGCTCCTGGACGGCCCTTGAGCTGGGAAAGGGAGCTTGGGTGGGTTGTCCTCAACCAAGCAGAGGGGGTCCCTTGGGAGCAGTGGACAAGGGAGGTGGCCTGGGTTCCCCACCCCGGATGAGTGTGTCTTCCCCCACTTCCTGCCCCGGCCCCAGCCCCTGCTCCCTTCAGAGGGTCTAACACTGGGCCTTCCCCGGCATCGTGCCAGTGCCCTTCGGAACCGTCTCTGGGTGGCGACCTCTGCCCTCTCTGGAGCCAGACTCCCGCAGGCGGGAACACTCAATCCCCACTGACCCTGACAAGGCACACGGCCTCTATGAGGCAGGTCCTCAGGGAGGACCCTGATGCCACGAGGAGTAAGGCACGAGCTGAAAGCACAGGCGCGCCTGGTGCACTCCTTTCCTGCGAGAGCCGGACAGGAGCAGAGGGGCTCTTCCTCCTTCATCCACCATGCTGCCGGCACAGGCGCACGGCCCTGAAGAGTTACCCGTCTGTTACACACACAATACACACAGGTAAGTTCAATGGGAACCATAAAAGACATCATCAAAAGTTCTAGAGTTTCCTTCTCACTAGACCACGCAGTGGGCCCCCTGGAGGCACACGTTCCCCTTTAGAGGCCACTGCTGCAGGGCTCGGGGTACCAAGCTGCTCACTGAGTAGGTTCCCAGGTGAGGTTTCCCTGCCGGCCCTGCAGCTCCGTGTGGTCACAGGACTCACTCACCAACTGCACCATGAGACTTCTGGCAACCTCTCCCTGACACGAAGGCTCTACCTCCTTCCGGAAAAGCTTTCAGAAAGGCCAATGAAAGGCAAAAACATAACAAGCTAGGGCTGAAGGACATGGAAGTTTCTTTACCACCTCTGTGTCAGGATCTTCCAGTTACAACCTCTTTCCTGCTTCCTTAAATGTGGCTTACCACAAGGCGGGCATTATCTAATCCTGTTACACAAGCAGGAGAGGGAGCAGAGAGTAAACAGCGGTCATCAACAGAAGGGAGAACTGGCAAACCGGTCCAGGTTCACAGGGACCTGCCCGTGACGGCTCCTTCGGGGTCTCAACAGCGCCACCCAGGGGAAGAGGCAGCACCCGCACACCGCTGCGCGCTCACTGACCGCTCACTGACCGCTCCCATCACCTGCACCTGCCCCTTCACTGCTCTGCCTTCAACTGCATCTCTCGCACTCACAGCTCGGGCAGACTCAACCAAGGGTCTCCAGGGAGTCCCAGGCTGAGGTCTGACCCTCCCCACCTCTGTCCAGGAGCAGAGCACACCCACCTGCATGCTCAGCATTGGGGAGAGAAGAGAGCACACTCCATATAACAACCCCTTTCCTGGCTAGGCGGCCCTGGTGCTGGGAGAGCCAGGGCGAGTACCTAGGCTGTAATGCAGCCCTCACCCCTGGCACTGTCAGAAGAGAAACCAGCCCAGTCCAGCGAGCTCCCGGCCCTCATCCTGCAATTCAAGAAGTTAGGAATCTAGGCCTTCCCCAAGGCTGGGCATCACCTAGTTTTGCTCATTTCACTTTCCAAAAAAGGAATGGCTGTCGGAGGGCCAACCGATGCGGCTGTGTTGCCAAGTTATGGGTTCAGTCCTCACCCGGCAACGTCACTGGACGGCCCTCCAGCCATCTGGGGGCCTCTGATCCTCCTCTGGCTTCCACACTGCACCAGCTAAGATGGCAGAGCTGCGACAGGGCTGAAGATCCTCTAAGAATGAGGTGGCCAAGCAGGAGAGCACAAGACAAGGGCCTCTGTCTGGGGATGTGACTACACTCTACCGAGAAGCCAGCTTTCCTGCCTGTCGTCTGCTCGCTGACTCACAAGAGGCCCACTCAGGAAACTCCTGAGCAGCAGCCTCACCCCCACCCTCGGCCCAAGCAGGTGCCATTCAGGGAAAACAGCCCTTGTCCATTTCTTGCCGGATCCTGGAAGTTTGGGAAGCAGTGAGCTTCTGAGAGCCTGAGAAAAAGAAGAGGAAAGTTGGACAGAAACACAGGGAAGGGCCCTTGAGACCTTTCAGCAGGACCGTCCCACCAGGCAGCTGTGCTTGCAGACCCAGAGGGGAGGCAGCTCGAAGGCGAGACTCAGATGGGATGGGAATCCGCCATTTTAGCCCTCTCTCCCCTAGTCAGAGGGGAAAATGGAGACCCACAGAAGCAAAGGGCAAAGAAGCACTCTCAAGGGCGGAAGGTATTTCTCAAGGGAGCCCAACCCCGTCCACTGTCTGAGGTCCTAGCTTGCTTAGGCCACTCAAGCCCGGTCCAAGCAGAGCCCACATCCTTTCTTTGGGATTGAGGAGGTGGGACCTGAGTCCTCTACAGAAGTGAGGTGGTCCTGGGGAGCACCTCACCCAGTTGCAGGCGCCCCCAGAGCCCCACGTCCCTGGAGAAGCAGGTGCTGGTCAGGCTCACAGAGGCCATCTCCTGGCTCTTCCCACTCCCGCCAAGCTGTCCACAGAGCCCCAAGCCTAGCGCACCATGAGTCCTTCTCTCAAGAGGCAGCGCTGGTGACCGCCCCAAGCGCCACCCAGGCCACAGTCCAGCCCAGCAGCCAGCACTCTCCAGATGGATATCCCCAAAGCCCAGGTTCCCCAAGGAAACTGTAAAGACTCTTGGAAAAGGGGTCTTGAGGCGCACCCATGAGATCACGATCCCACCAGGACCCGGAGTGAGCCAAGCCCCTGCCCGGACCCAGCAGCTCAGAGAGGCCTCTGCCAATCTCGGCCAGGGCCCCGGAGCAGTGGGGGTGGACAAGAGGCTACAGGAGGTGCCCGCCCAGCAGAACTTCCTTCCTCCCGTTCCTCTTGTTGCCAGCAGCCAGCTGTGCCCAGTCGTGCTGTGAGCTTCCCCCATGTTCCACGTCGTGGTCCACAGGGGGCTCACAGCCATCCTGCAGAGCAGCCCAGGCCAAGCTGTGCCCACAGTCTCACTGCCAGTCCCGAGGCGTCGGGTCTGTGTCCTTGCTGTCACCTGACCTCCTCCCAGGGAGCCCTGACTCTGCACCCTCCCTGCCCCTTAGATCTCCAGTGTGAACCTGCCTGCTCCAACTCACTGCCCTGGCCAGCCAGGCTAGGGGCTATGGCACAGGGGACCTGCCACCTGACCGCCCATCACCCCAGGACAGGAGGGAGTGCTGGTGCCAAACACCGACCTCACTCCCAGCCCCCTCCTCCCTGCAGAGATTGGAGGGGCTAAGCTAGACTCTGGGCCTTAGGTTTCCAGAACCCACTGGCCAAGAGGAGCGCCAGCCTTGGACCAGAATCCTAACTGTGCCACCACCACCTCTGTGACCTTGGGCAACTTGTACATTGTGAGCCTCAGCTTCCACAGGTATAAAGTGGGAGTAACAGTATGCCCACTCCAGATGTAAAATGGAGTAGCTGCTGTGGAAAACAGTGTGGAAGTTCCTCAAAAAGTTAAACATGGAGTCACCTTATGACCCGGAGAGGAGACGTTAAGTCACTGCATTTTCCCTGAGTGCTGCCATGGGAAGAAGGGATGCCAAGTGTTGGCCACGTGTGCCTCCTACCCTGGGGCACAGAGGGGGCCACGGGGTGAAGGGAGAGAGCTGACCTGCTGGGCGGG